TAGCGGATAGAACTTGTCGCCCCAATGGCCGTTGAAGTAGAACCACTCGATTGGGGCACTTGGCGTGGCAGTGGATGCACGAAGATTATCACTATCATAATCGTACGTATAGGCGTGGGCATTGAGAAGAGGGTCCCACAGGGGCCCGCGGTCGGTTTGGTCGTGCAACAAGCCCCAGGGCAGGATGTAGGCATGGATGCCTGGGGTGGCATACATGGCATGGGTGCCCATGGCGGAGTAAATCACGGGCTGACAGGGATCCATGGTTAGCGTCGGGAATCCCCTGGACGTGCGGGAGGGGGAGCAATTGATATCTCTACTTACCCGCTGGCCGATCTTTTCAACGGCTTCGTAACTGTACGCTTCTCCCGCCGAGTGCGCGCTGAAGAAAAGCGCCTTGGGCTTGCCGTCGTGAAATCGCACCAGACAGTGCTCCCAGTCACCCACGTGGTTCCCGAACCGCACGTTCAGCACTACGTTGCCCAGATTGAAGCTGTAGAAATAAAACCAGAACGCATCTACGACGCCGTGGCCTTTGTCCATCACCAGCAGAATTGCCGGCGCGTTACTGCGCCCGCCAGTCTTTTCGACGTGAATAGGCTCGCCGCCGAACCGTTTGCGCAACTCGGTTCGGACATCCTCGTCAGCAAGGTCTTCCGGGCGGAGATACCCCAGATCTTCCGGAGACCAACTGTCATCCTCTCCCTTGGATGATGAGAGACGGCCTGTGTCATACCACTGGGAGCGTTCCTCTGGCGTGTCCCCAGGAATAGGCCCGTCTATCCGGCCATCCCAGTCCGGCCAAGACAGCTCAAGATCGTCATCGGGATCGTCGGGAATATTCTTCTCGCCCTCGATCCATGGCGGGCGATCCTCTACATTGTCGTTGCTAGTCAAGTACACGAACTCACCTTCTTGCCACTCGTTCAGCCGATCGAGGTCCTGCAGGGTAGGATGCTCCTCGTCCGACTGAATGGGGGTGTAGTTCAGCATCGGGGTGACGTGGTAAAGATGTTCGGCAATGTCGCCCGGCCAAAACTGTTCATGCGAGGACAGGTAAACCAACGGCGCATATTGGAAGACATACTCAGGAATCTGCCGCCGCGAGCGTTCGGCTTCATCCCATGCGGGCTGCTGGGAGTCGTTGAATTGCGCATCGCGCCAGGCGGCGTAGTGGGCCTCGTCATCGGGCGACCAGGGTCCCAAAGTGGGCTCGCGCTGGCCGTAGCGGGCCCGCACTAGGCGGAAGTGGGCGGTCCCGCACATGCCGAGCCACCGACAGGCCTTGCGATCCAGCCAGGACGGCGAGGAGGCAATCCAGCTCTGCTCGTCATGATCCTCAGCATACCAGATGAAAGCCGACGGATTTACGGCGCGCGCAGCACTGTTGATCAAGACATAGGCAATCAATGAGGCGAGGGTGACAATGGCAACCCTGGTGGAGCGAATCATCTGCTGCACGATGCCGGGGGAAGCTTCAAGATCGGAGGAATTGGAACGCGATGAGGGGAGCACCACTAACCCGGACTGATCACCGGGAGTAGAAGTGGTGGACGGGGGTAGTGTGACCAGATTCCCAATCGGGACAGCTGAGGTGGGAGGAGCTGCAGCGACCAGGCTGTCGGCCAGATCTGTCACGGAGGGATCCTCGGGGGAAATTGCAAGAGGACGAGAGGCATCCGAGCCGAAGGGGGAGGGATGACAGAGCGACTGCGACAGGAGAAGCAGCGACAGCAGCAACAGCAGCAGCAGGGAGGGAGAAAAGCGATCGAGCCGGGCATTTGAGCCCGGAAGTAAAGGAAGCGGAGGAGACACTATAAGAAGCAGCAGCGGGCAGGCGCGATGACATTGTCAGTCAGCCGGGAAGGGTCGAGAACAGCAGGAACGGGGCTCGGGAGGTCAAAATCATGGTACAGAAGGGGACAGAATTGGGTAGTGATTGGCCATGAGGGCCATGAGTAATTGGTCATGATGGGACGATTGGTAGGGCAGACAAACAACAAGGCCGCGGGATGTGATAGTGGATGCTTAGGGCTGAAGGGGGGGAGGGGGGGGGAAGGGAAGAACAGGGAAATTCGGGCATTGGAGTGGCCGAGTCCAGCACAAGGAATTTGCTGGGAGCAGCAGCAATAGATCGGCTCGCACGGAAGCGGATTAGATAATGGATGATGAGGCACGAGTTCGAATGGGAAGACGACGGATGCAGCTTGGGTTTGGCTTCCGCCGGTTGCCGGATCGTCATAGTAAAAAAGAGAGGAAGAAAGGGAGAACAGCGATACGGTGAGAGAGTGAGTGGGCATGAGAGTGAGAGGGGAAAAGAAGTACGGAACACACGGAAGAAAAGAGGGGCCATTGACTGAATGAATGAATCAGGTGGACTCACTGATTATGGATGGATCAATTCAGGTCGGAATATTGAGTAATGATGAGAAACTGGATTAGTATTTTTTTTACTGTGCCTTGTGTGTACTGTGTACTGTGTACTATCTAGATGGAATGACCGAGTTCACAACTGCAACCGGAGTGGAATGACAAGGAGAATTGGTGATGATGATGCAAGAAGGGGGGGATGAAGTCATCCGGTCAATCATCCAGCAGGGACTCACAGCTGCGGTGGATGCAGCAGAGCACTCTGGCTAAGACAAGAGGAGAAACAACCACGTCAGTCAAACTGGAGCTGGAGGTGAAAACTGGAGCTGATGGAGAAGAGTGAAAGAAAAGAAGGGACTGGAACTGGGATGAATTGGATTACGGGAATTGATGGATCCTCAGGGTCGTAAAGTCTAAGGGTTCAGTCTGTCAGCCCTCAGCCTCTCATGGATGCCTGATGAGATGACAAACACGATAGTCAGCAGGGTCTTCTTCTGCCTCTACTGCCTCTTCTGCTGCATTCTATCATACTAAGGTAGCTAGCTAGCCAGCTACTAACAATCAATCAATCACGAGAAGTTATGAGAAGAATCCAGGATGATGACTGGCTGCAACAGCTTGCAGTGGAGTGATTCACCGCCAAGTCTGGATCGTCGGGCGCCGCCGCGAATTAGTTGCCGCCCTGCCAATCAATCCAATCAGTCCTCCCAACTTGATAATTCTACCATCATCATATCACTTGAGCTGCTTGCTCACGGTTGTCGCCAGCTGCATCCATGGCCCTCCCCACTCCCTTAATGCTGGATCCAGCCATGCTGGCCGATTCCAGTCTGGTCCACCCCGAAGACCATGATGATTCCGAATATGAATACGAATATCATCCCACCGAAACAGAAGTTCGTCCTCACCTTGGCAGTCTAGCTCCCATGCTGCCTTGGTTGTGATGCTGACAAGTCCCCATCTCACCATCACTAGACTGTCTATCTGACTCTCGACCTCACCTCCCTCCACGGTCCCATCCGGCCCCCTCGTCGCCGACAACCACAAGATCCCTCCTCCCTCCCCACCTCCAGTCCATCCACACCTTCCCAGAATCAGAATCAAAATCATCACGATGACCAACCCGACGCTGCTCTCTCCAGCACCGAAGCGGACCCCAACAACCCCTCCATCGCCGACCGTGTTCAAATCCTAGGCCTTCACACCCCCAACCCCATCATCTCCTACCAGAACCAAATCTTCAGCGGCACCTGGGCCGACCAAATCGGCACTGAGCTACTCATTGCGCGTCCTGAAGACTCATCCTCCTCACCACCGCACGATGAAGACCCCTCCTCCTTCACTAGTAGTAGTAGTCCGGTTATCCCGCTCCGCCACACCCCGAATTACGACCTCCTCGCAGCCAACAGCGTGAAAATCCTCGGTCGCAAAGCGAATCTCATATCCAGTTCATCCTCCAACGTCTACGCCGCGGATTCTGCCGCCGCCGCCGCAGAACAACCCAGCGACAGCACCACCACCCAGGGCGGTGGTGTCATCCGCAAAAGCGCCCCGCAAACCAATCAAGCACGATTTTTAGACCGCCTTGCCAGCCTTAAACGCAGCAAAGGCGAGACCGACGCCGTGCGGACAACATTCAGCACAAAACGTATGACGAATCTGGAGGATCGGCTACGTGGTTGGGCTCGTACCGATGAACAGCTGGCACAGATTCAACGGTTAAACGAGCTGGCATTATCCGGGGATGCGAACGCCATGGCGGAGTTGGAGGGACTTTATTCACGGTTGGGCGGACAAGATGAAGAGGAAGAGATGGATGAGAATGAGGATGAGCTGGGACAATAAGAACCCTCTACTTCGTATCTCAATCTTAATCCCATAGGCTCGGTATGGCTATTATTCCTCTTGAGTGGGTTAAGCTAAGCTTAGCTACATGAGAGGGAAAGTTTCCTATCAGTGGAAATATACTTCCGCGATACGAAACCACACTGAACACTGACTAAAAAAACAGATCAATCATAGTACTTCTGAACATAATTGATCTACGATGATCCAGACCCGACCCGACCAGACCTTCGGATCGGATAGGATAGTTCACAAAAGTCAGGTAACTGAAGCAGACACGTCACGTGCCTTAGCTTGGAACATCCGATGCTCCGACCGAGATCGACCGAGGTCATGCTCAACGACACATGCGTTCGTCCCGCCGCAGAACAAGACCTTAAACTCGGGCCGGGAGAAGCTTGCTTGCCCAGCACTGATGGGTGCATTAAGTCAGGATCATCATAATCCGCGGCAAAGTTTCCACCGAACTGAATAGGGCAGTTGATGCGCGTCGTACGAACCGGTTTGCGGCGTGATGGCGTCAGCGGATTCTTTTCCTTAGGGAGCTGCAAGGTACATCCTTGATTTGATGCTGAATCTTGATTTTATCCTACTATGAGAAATCCCTGCATGTGATAGCGTCGATTTGATGCAGTATGTGGGTATACTATACTGTACTATATACACTGTACTATGAAGAATGAATGTGATCATGATGAACGAGATACCGAGCTACTACCGTGAAGACTCTCTCTCTCAATAGAACGAGTAATAGTAATGATAATAGTATACACATCTATTCCCAGTAACTTCAAACAGTAACAAATAGACAGCTAAATCAAACCCGAACACTTGAAACAAAAACAAACAAACAAAAAAAACAAGTAATCAATCACACACAATCACCAAACACCCCAATTCCCATCCATCCGACCAACCATCCATGAGAGCGATGCAATTATCCAAACCCAATACCAACAAATCAACCAACGCTAAACCCCATTCCATGAATATTCAAATGAATGTCAATGAAAGTAGTAGTAGAAATTAATCAATCAACCTCAACAGATCCCATCCACTAAGCCCCCTAATCTAGCTTCATCCATCATACTATAGTAGTAGTAGTATCATGGAAGAAGAAGAAGAAGAAGGGGAAAGGGAAAGCTTCAAGCCCAGAACCTCCTCATCTCCACAGGCGACGGAGGCGGCGGTGGCGGCAGGGGGAATTCCCACTCCAAGGGTAGTTTCCCTTCTGTGTGGTATGATGGAGAGGTGGGAGGTGTAGGAGTGGTAGTAGTATCGATGGTATGAATCGCCTTGGGGATGTGTGTTGTGGCGGAGAGGATGGCGCGGGAGATGGTATCTTGGGAGAGAGGGAGGGAGAGATGAGGTCTCCGTGTTGTAGTTGTAGTTGTTGTTGTTGTTGAGGTGGATGTGGATGTGGAGGGTGGTGTTGGACAGCGGGAGGGAGACATTTTGGTTGTTTTCCACTTTCTTAGTTTGATGTAGAGGAAGTAAAGTGAAGTTGTTGGTTGTTTTTGTAGAATGGAGGTAAGAGTAGTAGTATATGGTGATCAGGAACAGAGTTTATAAGTAGTGATGGTAGTATGTTAAGTTCCTATAGTAGTAGAATCACGTCAATGATCTGTGTCCTGCATGTGCATATGTAGAACATATATATATAAGCGAGTGGGAAGAAGCAAAGAAGAAAAGAAAAGAAAATATCATATGTGATGAATGGATGGGATGTATGCCGATATAGATCCGGAGTAAAGATATCGTGCTTTCGCTCCGAAAACCGCCGAGGTAAAATCAAAAGTAGATTGACTGGATGAATGGATCCAGTTTATTCTCTCATGAGGGTCCTTGAATCTCAATCCCTCCTCCTCTTAGCCGAGGATTATGTCCGTGTTTGATTGAGTGGTGATGATGGTGTGTTGTGCAAGGGCATAAAAAAAAAGAAAGAGGGAATAATTGGCTTACCTCTTTCTCTTTTCTTTACTATTGTCTGTATAGGCTATAGTTTGGTTGTTGGTGCTGACTGTAGTGGTGGATGGTGATGAGTTATGAAAAGTGCCTCACTTGTATGTATGAAACAAGATGTATGGGAACCAAATAACTGTCAAGTACTAAGAACCGAGTAGTACTCTGAGAGAAGGACGTTTGAAAGAAGAAGAATGGGAAGAGAAAAGCAGACAGAGCAAGAAGAAATACCCGCCTAAAATACCTTTTTTTCCTTTAGTACTACCACCACGACTCAGGTACACCTACCTACAACCCTACTAAGCAATAAATAGCTGCTACGTACTACCGAATAAAGGAGAGCGAGGAAGGGAACCTAAGGATTGGATGGAAGGATACATCCATCCATCCATCCCTTCCCGTTGCGAGGCGAAACCGAAACCAAAAAGAAAAAAAGGAACAACCGCCTCACCCTTGAACAACAACCCCCGGAGCCAGGCGGCGGCAGATGGACCCAGAAAGTCGGGTCCAGGCCAGAACCCACCACATAACTACTAAGTACTACCCCAGTTGTTTTGCTACGTCTGGGCAAGGCGGGATGGTATGGTAGGACTGAGTGGGCATGGGGCATGCTTGGACGGAAGGACGGAAAGACGGAAACTGTCCCGGGGATTGAAATGAATGGGGGATTTGACTTTGGCTGGGGAAAAGAGATCAGCCCGGAGAAAGAACAGAAACAAGACAAGACAAGACAAGACTAGAAAAAAAAAGGATGGGGAAGGGGGAGTTGGGGGTGGATTTTGGGGAAAAAAAGCAGAGATGCAGACTAGACTAGTTTACTGTTACGTGTGCAGATGTGGAGAAAACAAGGGTCAAAAAGGAACTGACTAGTAGGTCAATGGCTGGAGTTAGTTTCCAGTGGTTTTGAAAAAATGTTTCTACTTTCTACTTACTCGTTTCTCCATATTTTGGTAGATACCGTTCCTTCCCCATACCTTTTGCTAGTGATCGACTTCGGGGCAATTCAGCCTGAGTTCCGGGAAAGGCAGCGAATAATACTTAATACTAAATAGACTAGAAGCCCGAGAATACTCCATGCAGAATATCCATTTCGATCCCCATCGCATAATCCAGTAGTACTTGCTACAGTGGCGATTACTGTACAGTAGTATGGAGTAGTATGGAGTAAATGAATGGATCAGACCACGCAATCCTTCATGATCCATGATGTGATCTCTCCTCTCCTCTCGCCCCATTCCCTGGACACCTCACCTTCTAGAAAAACACCAACTAAACAGCACTGAACAAGTCCTGACAGAAAGTACGAAGCACTACTACTACTACTTTTTACCTCTTTAGATTAACCCACCAATCCTTCGATCCATCCATCCATCCCACAGGATTGCTGCCATCATTGCCATTTCACTCCGTGGCAAAAAAGAACACACACACACACTCCACAACTCCGTCCAACTCATTTCAGTAAAAGCCCTGCTACGTACTGCTAGCCAGCAAGCAAGCAGCCAGCCCCTGCTTTGTTTTACTACTACTCCCACAGCAGCTTCACCCACACCTCCCCCGGGATTCATTTACCAACCAGCCAGCTAGTCAGTCAGCCAGCCAGCCAGCCATTGCAACGTAATCACCAAATAACTTACCTCCATTCAATAACATAGTAACTATCAACCCAAACTACTCACAGGACATGGCAACTCTCCACAAATTACCCCATCCGTCCCTTCATCCATCCCTCGTACCCCGAACTCTCTTCGTGTAACACAAACAATAATCCCCAAGAAAGAAAGAAAGCAAGTAAAGTAAAACTATACGAGATACATACATACAGATACTCCGAATCTTGAAGCATCATGCTACATACTACTCACAAATAAGCTCGACCCAACCCACTGGTCAAGTAACTCCGAATGGGAAAATAAATGAAATAAATGGATGGATGAACCATTTCCCACTCCTACTTATGTCCACACTAAAAATAAATTACGTACAATCCAGTAGTTCATGGGAGTTGCATGATCGGCTACATGTACTGTATGCCTTTTTTCTCCACATTCCAATCCGAGCTTGCGAGGCTCTGTGCGTTTTTGTTTGTTGGCGGGATACGTAGTGAAGTATGGGGTAACTGAAGTAGCCTGCATGATTCTTTGGGGGAAATGGGCAGCAGCAGCTATGTATAGTTCTTACTAGTATATTCCATACATACTGTGTACTTAGGTGGAATCATGTGGATGTTAGTTAGCTGCGCCAGGTTGCAGTGGCTTGGTGTAGTGACTTGGTGGAATTCTTCAGATACCCCTTATGTAGTACTCTGTAGTATACTAGGACTAGTAGTAACTTATGTAAGAGATTTCGAGATCTCTTTCGTCTGAGGGCGCAGTATTTATGATGATGATAGTGGATGGAGGGTATTAGTTGCAGCTTGGGCTATTTCGATATCCCTTTTGGAAATAGCTCTACACATAGTACTCTTCGTAGCCAGGCAAACCTTCTAAAGTAAAGATTGCATTGCATTATACAAAACCCGCCCAGCCCGTTTTAGCCATAATCCTCTCTTGCCCATCTCGCATTATCTATACACAGTTACAATCATCACCCCCCCAGCAAATGAGATGAGACATCCCCATCACCAACCAACCAACGCCAAACGCCTCGCAAACCGAATCAGTCAAAGCATCACCCCTTGGTAGCATCATAATTCCCCTAGTCCTCAAACTTCCGCTTCACCCCGTTACTCCCATTAACCTGCGCCGTACTACCGGGTCTTCCCCGCTCCGACATCTGCGCCTGTCGCTTCTTCCACGCCGTCTTGATCGCAGGAGCCACCCGAATCAGATCCTCCTCCGTCACCCGGTCCTGAATACTCTCTAGCACCTTCTCCACCGTCGAGATATGATTCGCATCCGCCTTATCATCCCGAATGCGATGGAACCGCCAGCGCCCCTGCTCATCCTGAGCGCACTCCACAATCGCATCATCCAACGGCTGCTGCAGCGCCTTCATGTTCTCCCACTCCTCCGGCGAGACATACATCTCTCCGAAGGGGCGGTACTCATTCGAATTGAGCATAACAAACAGATGAAAGATAGGCAAGGCATCATAATCGTAATACGGTTCCGTAACACCATCGGCCTCATCATCCGAATCCGGTTCCAGCAGGGGAAACTCCAAGCGCATTCGAAAATCGATAGTATTCTCACTGGGCGGCTTCCACTTGAGGATATGTTCATCCGTACCGATGCGATAGGGAGTACTCCGACAAGTAAAAATCAAGCCATCATTGCCATGAATCTTCTTCACCTTGGGGATAATATCCCGAAACATCATCTCAATGCCGTAACTAAACTGCGTCGATTTATCCTCCACGGCAAAGATCCGATGTTGCTTCTCCTCGGGAAACCGATCATACAGCGCATTATACGGCTTGAGCACCTTTTCCTTGAAGTACGCGAGCCGTTTATCCAGCGTCCGATGCATCAAACTCTGCCCATCGAGCACCAAGCAGTCAAACACAAGGTACTTGAGCTGCTGCGTGCCATCCTCGTAGGTATCATTGACCAGCTCACCGTCGACCAGCGTATCGACATGGAAGCGCTGAAACGTGTCATCGTCCGGTAAAGGGAAGTGCAAGCCCGGGACGTAGCGGTAGTCGTTTTTGCGATCAATCAAGTAGTGGATTTCAGGAGTGTCGGAATCCGGTTCGCCCCGCGCAAAGTACATCAAACATCGAATTCCGTCCGTCTTCTCGCACACGTAGTAATCTTCTCGTTGGAGCTCGGTTAGATGCCGTGTCGAGAAACTGACGGGTTGCGCGCCGGGGAAGTTGAGATTATTGCGGCCGAGGAGGGTGGCAACTTCGCGACGGAATTGGTCGGCGAGTTCGGGGTCTGCTTTGATGCCGACGGCATCGAGATCGGGGACTGAGTTGCTCATTGTGGTCGGACTGAATATTTCTGTATGGAAGGGAGGGGGAGGAGTGGGTGAGGTTATGAGGAATAATGGTCTGGAGAAATGGTGGTCACGCTGGTGGTTAGAGCTTCTCGCCCGCAGGCGCAAGGCGCAAAAGGTGCTCAGCAGTAGGTGGGTAGAAGGAGAATTATATAGGGGAGTGGTGGTGGTGAGTTGGCGTTCGTTGGGAAAAGTGAGAGCAGGCGCATCGAGGCAACGAAGGTAGCTTTGACTCCCATCTGCGGAGGTTCGGAGATACTCGGTGGCCTGAGGCATCACGTTGCCGTTCTTGTCGCCTGACAATGCGATACCACGGTGGAGAATGGCGTTTTTATTGATTTCATGCAAGCAACAGTAAATGTCGTAGGCTGCGCATTGATGTACTACAACAGCCATGGAGAAAAGTCTTAGCATGCAGAATGAATTGCATTCTATCAATACGGCCAAAGAAGCACCGACTTAATTTACAATAATGCACGCCAGCAAGACTGAGCGCGGGGTATCTTATCAAATAGCAAACCAAAAGACCCAAAACCCTTCCAGAAACGCCATCAAGCATCGCCCAAACTCCCTGCCCATAAGCGAGCTATATGTATATCCAATCCTGGGAGCCTTTCATCACTCGTTACCCAGCGAGAGCTCTACGAGCTAGCCGCCACAGGCACCTGCTTGGCTTCAGGTGCCGGTGTCTTCGCACCAGCATCTGTCGCATTTTCCTGCGTTTCTGCCGGCTCCGGCTCATCCACAACCATAGGCTCGGGCACTGACACCTCCTCTACAGGGGTGAACAGGCTGCCGCCATCCGGAAACGGAGAGGAGAGAGTATCTCCTGTCGAGAAGAGCCCACCACCGCGTGAGCCACCCAATGCATGGGACAGCATCTCCTTGATCCGCACATATTGGTACTTCTTCTTCGTCGAGATCAATGTATGAGTCACCATCGGGTATGGATGAGAGCGAGAAATGGCCGCCATGACAGTATCTTTCTCTTCATCCGAGTCAACGGGCCCATTATTATCCAAATCATCTTGTAGCGGAGCATTCGCATCGATAGCAGCCTCTGTAGAAACCAGCATTAGCATTGTCCGACCCAGCCCACACTCGGGCACCATAAGCCACAAAAACCACTTACTCTGCTGCCTTGCCTGGTTCTTCTTCTGATATGCCTGCAACAGCATATCATACGGCAACGAACGCCCCGGAACAGCTCTCTTCGCGCCCATCGAGTGACTCTTACAAGTCAACGACCTAGCGCACTGCGCACCATTCGGCAAAGTAACACCACACTGCTTCTCAACATCAACAGGGCCCTTCGGTTTAGGCACCTTCGGTTTGGGCTCCTCCTTCTTTTTCTTCTTCTTCGGCTCCTTATCCTTATCATCCTCACCGGCCTCCGTCTTGCGCTTCTTCCCCTTTTTCGTCCCATCCTCCGCCATTCCCTTAACAGCGGACTTCTTCGCGCTCTTCTGACCCTTCATCGAATCTTCACCACCCTCACCCTTCTCACCAGCACCGACATCTTCATCACCATCCTTATCCCCCTTCTCCTTTGCGCGATTCGCCGCATCCCGGGCCTCCTTCTTCTTCCTGGCCTTCTCCTGCTTCGCACGAATACAACCCCGAATATGTTCCACCGCATTCTGCTTCAACACCGGCCTCTTGCACGTCTTACAGATGACCGTCTCGAGATGATCCTCTTCGCGGGGCTTCCCGGTCGGGAACGCAGCCATAGTCTTTTCATCGATATCGGGTAATATAGGCGACGAGGAACCGGGGGATTCAGGCACTATAAACTCGCAACAACTTCCATCAGCATACCACCACTAAACCCCCATCCCCAGACCAAGGGGAAGGGAACAGAGGGATATAACAAACCATCACCCTTCTTCTTCCCGGACTTAGCATTCGCCGCCGACTTCTTCAACTTAATCTTCCCAGGTTTGGTATCCTTCTCGGCATACTTATACCCCGACGCATCGACCAGACTCCCCGCCGGGGTAGAAGAGGCAGAGGACGCTACAACACCAATATTAGCATGATTCGTAAATATAACAGCGTGTATCTTCGTGGATTTCCCCTAAATCATCATTGCGTGGTGGGATTATCGGGAGGGGAGAGGGGGGGGAGGGTGCCTATAACGGACCTCTGCCGCCGGTAGCAGTAGCCATGATTATAAAACGAAACGACCGACCACCCACACACGCGCGCGCGCTTTCTCTCTCGACCGTCGGAATTCAAGGAGCGATATCGTCAAGGAAAATAGAATAACAGGATAGGATGGGATTGGAATTAAAGCTATGTATCTAGCTCCGACCGCGAGGGGAAAGGGGGACGGTGACGTTGCTGGGGGAGGTGCGGTATCTTAGTTGGTCGAGGCTTGCGCTGAGCACACTCTCACTCTCTCTCTCTCACAGTCCGGGGCGCTCCGCATTTGAGGAGGTCACGTGGGTGGTTAGTTAAGTGGCCGTCGGATGGAGGGGGTTTGAACGTCTGGGTTATTGGTGTGAAATAGATTCGCCTGGAGATGTTATTGGGAATGATGGATGAAGGTTTAGTGAGAGTTATTTGGGGTATTGTGGTCGCTGTGTTTCGGTTGATTCCTTTGTTGTGTTGGAGGCTGCGGTGAGTGGATCATGCGTAAGGAGGGATGATGGATGGGTTCAAGTCCGCTTACTTGAAGACCAACACAACTATTCTTCATGATGGTGTTGAGTGAGAAAAAAACCCTCTTACATGCCTGATTATGTGAAATGGCTGTCACTGACCACGTTGGCCAGTCAAACGTGTTACTTTAATATGACTGGCAGTTACATCCGCCTTGTGGTACATGTTTATTGATACAATGCAATGCAATATGCAAACCCGCCAATATCATATGATATACAATCCGCCTACCCTGCATGCTTCGAGAAGCACAAACTACTGTTCGTTCCCCCAAATCCAAAACTGTTCGTCAAAGCCACGTCAATGGTGCGCTCCTGAGCCTGTTTCGGGGCATAGTTGCAGTCAAACCCATCAGCCAACCGCTCCAGATTGATGGTAGGTGGCATCACATTCTAAACTCGACGTTAGCAGTGTTATGTATTGTTTACCAAGGTCGCTCACCTCGTTAACGGCGAGAATCGAGAACAATGCTTCAATGGCGCCCGCACCACCGAGCAAATGGCCGACGGCTCCTTTGGTGCTACTAATGTTAACCTCCGTCGCCCGTTGCTTTCCTCCCGGTCCCAGGAGCAAGGACTTGATGGCAGCGTTCTCTGCTGCATCTCCGACCACAGTCGAAGTGGCATGCGCATTGACATAGTCGACTGCGGAAGGTGGGAGTCCAGCGTTTTTTAGAGCTTTCCTCATGGCTAGGAATGCACCTTCGCCGTTCTCTTTAGGTGCTGTCATATGGTGTGCATCACCAGAACAGCCGTAGCCTCTCAATTCGGCATAAATTCGAGCTCCTCTTGCTTTTGCGTGTTGGAGTTCCTGACAACAGATTAGAAAGATTCCATCGGTAAGCGTCTGTTATGGATAATACCTCCAAGACCAACATTGCCGCGCCTTCACCGACCACAAAACCTTCACGATCCGCGTCAAACGGTCTTGATGCTTTTTCAGGTGAATCATTAAAGCTCGTAGCCAAACTGCGGGCCCGAGCAAAGCCTCCGACAGCTAGTGGATGAATACAAGACTCTGCTCCGCCGGCCAGCATCACATCTGCATCACCGAACGCAATGAAGCGGGCAGCATCACCTATGGAATGAGCCCCAGTTGTACAGGCTGTTGTTGCTGAGTGATTTGGACCCTATATCATTAGCAGTGGAAGATCAGGGGCAAGGAAGTGCTCTTACCATAAATCCATACTTCATGGAGATGTGTCCAGCCCCGAGATTGATCAGAAGCTTCGGTACGAACAAAGGCGATACTCTACGGTAGCCCTATGACTTGTGAGCATGGTAAATGGATGATAGACATGTTGTACTGACCCCCTTGTCATATGCAACAACTGTGTCGTAAATCTCATCAAAGTTGCCAATGCCTGATCCAAGGCAGACTCCCTGGCATAGAGTTAGGGATATGATGTGGAAAAGCACCGACAATACATACAGTAGCTTCTTGTTGCTCAAAATCTGTAGGCTTCCAGCCCGAGTCTTCGAGAGCCTCTTCTGACGCAGCCATGGCATACTGAGCGAACCGAGCCATCTTGCGCTCCTCCTGCAGGACATCAGTTACAATCCTAATAAGCATTCTAGTATGCCTACATCTCGACTTAACCACTCCGAAGCCGTCCAACATCCATCCTTTCGTGCACCTTGCGGCACCACTGCTGCGATCTGACATGGCAGATCTGCAAACCTGGTATCGCGATGGTTGACATTGATGATGCCACAGTGACCATCCAGGAGACGTTTCCAAGTACGACGGAAACCTACGAGAAATTACTTAGCAAATATAGCAAGAGCATTGATCGTGTACAGTTGCCTTCCTGGGCATAGATATGAGGTAGTGCAAGACCTTCCCTTTCCGGAAGAGTGGAAGTGGAGACGCTGGGGACCGAAAAAAAAAAGATGGTAGAACCACGGCCATGACGAGGTTGTTTGGGACATGCTTAATTGCGCACGGAGGCATCACTCACCTACTCCTAGAGGTGTCACTGCTCCAAGACCAGTCACGACAACACGACGCATGGCATTCTGGGGAGACACGGTACGTGATTACTATGGTCGAGGTATTTCACGTTTAGTCTCGCTGCGGGTGGTTGGTCTCCGCAGACTGCAGACGGAATGCTGGTCCAAACTCCCGCGACACTATACCGATGTTGGGGAAAAGCGGGAGAGACTAGAATGAATGGATGGAAGAAGATGGAAGAGATGAAGTGGTGAAGCTCAACGCAGCCAATGGACGAGGCGAGAAATGGGGGTCAAGGGTGTTCCTTCCGCATTGAGATGATGAAGAAGTTGACCAAAAAGGGAAGGTCCGCACGACGTCAGTGACGCCAGGCATAAAGGCATCAATATTTCCCTTTACGGCCATATCCTGGCCAATGAGGGTCAATCTCCGTATCGATAAGAGATAGAGGCCCATCATCCCCAGTGGCCATTATTATTACTATTCTATTCATGGCATGTATTTTTTATGTCAACGCAACTACCACCGCTATTTAGTCCTCTCCGATTGCTGCTCCGAATTTCCCCTCCTTTCTTTTCTTCCCTATCTCTCTTACACCCCCAATACCCTCGAGTGAGGTCCTTAATCTCGCCATGAAATCCCTCACTTGGGCTGCTTGCCTGGCACTGGCTGGTACAGCCTTTGCCCACGCTCACCATGATCACGAAGAGGTGCCAGAGCATGTGCGCGAGGAGTTGCTGAGGAAATGGGACCAGGAGGTAGGCGCTCCAATCCCAGCAGTATATTTCGCACTCACACTCACACACCATTCCAGTTCACCTTCTCCGGCATTGCCAGCTTTGCCCACCTAAAGCCAGTCAAATGCCTGATCGAACCCGACGAACGGTACGACATCGCCGTCATCGGCGCCCCCTTCGACACGGCAGTCAGCTACAGACCAGGTAAGACACCCAATAACCTCACAGTCTGCCCCCCCAAACTCACTAACACCCCTTCAGGCGCTCGCTTTGGTCCGCGCTCCATCCGGGCAGCTAGCGCCCGCCAAATGGCCGGCACGAGCTACAACACCCGAGCGGGAATCAACCCCTACGCCTCATGGGCGACAGTCAAAGACTGCGGCGACATCCCGATCACCCCGTTTGACAATGGCGTTGCGGAGCGCCAGATGTACGAAGCCTTCCTGGAACTGGGCTCTCGCCCGGCCCTGACCACCGCCTCCTCCAAGTACGGCACGAAGGGCATCTCGGCGGGCAAATCGAAGCTCGTCACATTGGGAGGCGACCACAGTGTCGCACTACCAGCCCTGCGCGCACTGTACCAAATCTACCAGAAGCCCATCACGGTGCTTCACTTCGACGCGCACCTGGACACCTGGAACCCCGTGCGCTACTCAGCCTACTGGACCTCCGAACAAGCGCACTTCAACCACGGTAGTTTCTTCCACAAAGCCAGCCGCGAAGGATTGATCTGCAACTCGACCTCCGCGCACGCTGGTCTCCGCACGCGTTTGACCGGCGTCGACGACAGCGACTACACCAACCCGGGTCCGGAGCAGGGATTCATGCGCATCCACGCCGACGACATCGACGACCTCGGACCCATGGGCATCGTGAACCGCATCATCGAGCGCATCGGTCTGGACTCCGACCAGCCTGTCTACCTGTCCGTCGACATTGATGTCCTGGACCCCGCCACTGCGCCCGGAACTGGTACCCCCGAGCCTGGTGGCTGGACGACCCGCGAGTTCATTCGCATCCTGCGCGGCATTGAGAAGCTGAACATTGTTGGCGCCGATATCGTCGAGGTGTCTCCTAGCTATGATAACAAGGGCGAGACTACGGCCTTGGCGGCTGCGCAGGTGGCGTTTGAGATTATCACTAGCATGGTTAAGGCTGGTGCGGGTGAAGAGTTGGGTGGATGGTATGGACGGAAGGTGATGCCGGTTGAGGAGACTGTTGTTGAGGAGGCAGCAGAGGAAGCTGTGGAGAAGAAGGAGGCCAAGGATGAGTTGTAAATGAGATATACGATATGAAGTTATGTGAATGTATGTATGTATGTATGTATAATGAACGAGTTGAGTTACTAGTCAAGCCCTGATGCAGGTACATCGTGAAACACATAACATACTCCTAAGTCTAATAAGTCTAAGTAATCTTACTGTAAGCTCAATCAACTCATCGAATAGGTAAATAACTCCATATCAGCAAATACTAGATACTATATAGACGAGACTAATCAATTAACTACTACCTCACGAACCAGCAACAACAACAACAACCACCACCACAACATCTAACCATAATATATAAAGGGGTGGGTAACTTGGTCATCACTATTGTATCTGTTATCTAGTCCAGGCTTTGAAGACAATGAGCAAAGAAAAGGAAAAAGAAAAATAAAGGGCTGCAGCTCGGGAGAACAAATTGCACAGCAAATTTGGGACGGGTGGGATCGGCATGATAACAGATCGCAGAGTATGAGGGACATCAAAGAAAAGAAGATAGAAAAAAAGAAAAAGAGAAAAGAAAAACCATCAGCCAGCCAAAACAAGACGCCTCGACTTCCAACGCCGATAGAGACGATGAGAGGTTCGAAAGGGAGTAAAGGAGGATTTGTTTGAGGAAAAGAAAAGGTGGGTGTGTTGTGGGGTTGTGGAAACGTGTTGGTAAAAGGTGAAAAGGGGGGTAGTTTAGGGAGGAGTTGACAGTGGGGAGAAAAGGTGGAGGGAACACAGTGAGGGGATAATGAAGGTCGGAGGATCAAGAAACGACGCTGGCCAGGTAAGACGAGACGAAAGTCAGGAGACAAGAGGTTCCGATAGAATGAGGAAGAGCTCTCGATGGCAGGTCTGCTTGAGGTAGACAAGGCTCAGCAGCGCAGAGACAACCGAGCGAAGAGGGAAGAGCACACTTGGGTGTTACGGGTTGTAAGATGTGTATTCACTCAAGAATCAGTGAACGAACACAGAATGTCAAGTCAGACGTCGGTCGAAGAAGCCAGCCACCTTTGTACGAAAGAATCCCCAAAACTCCATATTGCATAGATAAAGCACATTCAGTCTCCCAAAATCATACGACGTGTCTGCGATGCATCAATGACAGGCCTGGAACCCTCCGGAGCGTACGGGCCTGCCCTGTAAGATCCCGGGATCAATTACAGCAGGACGCACTTCTTCGACTTCTTGGGAGCAGGCTCGAGCGCGGCAACAATGGCCTAGAATAAAGATGTGTGAGTAGATGCGACGATGCAGGGATGTGGCGCGACACTAACCTCATCAAAAACGTCCTTGAGCTTGTACTGCGTGAGAGCAGAACACTCGACGTATTTCACTGCGCCCAGCTCCTTGGCCATACGGTCTCCATCTTCCTTGCGAATCGGTTGCATCTTCTGGCGGGAAAGCTTCTCGCGGACCGCGGGATCGTCGCGAAGATCGGTTTGGGTGCCCACGATCAGGCAGGGGACACCGGGGCAGTGGTGGTGCACCTCGGGGAACCACTTTTCGCGTACGTTCTCAAAGGAGGCAGGCGAAGTGACCGAAAAGCAAACGAGGAAGACATCCGTCTGAGGGTACGAAAGAGGACGGAGACGATCGTAATCCTCCTGACCAGCAGTATCGAACAGTCCCAGGGTGTAGGGCTCATCGCCAATCCTATTGCGCAACGGGGGTTCGAGTCAGTTACAGATTCCGATATTTGTCCACAGACGCCATCGCATTTGTCAAGCCAGCGACATCGGGGGCACCAATAACGCTATTGCGAGCGTGATATAGCGCATTACGACAGACTCCCGATATGCAAACCATGTCTCAAGATAGGGGATCCCTAACTTACATGACCGTGACGGCATAGTTATCGAACACCGTGGGAACATATTCGGAAGGGAACTTGTTCGTCGTGTAGGAGATCAAAAGGCAGGTCTTGCCAACGGCACCGTCACCGACGACAACACATCTGCGACGAAAGTCAAAACCATGGTTAGCCACTTGCCGCTCGAAGAAAGGATGAATGTATCGGTTTGCACGGAGAAAGGAGAGGGAGAAGCAGGATAGAGGAGGGTTCGAATGGGGGGAGGGGAAAGAGAGGAGGAGGGGGGGAAAAAGTGATTGCGGAGAGAAAGGGATAAAGATGATGAAGAGAACAACGCACTTAATTGTTGCCACGACCATGTTGTAAACTTTGAAGAACCGTGAAGTTTGCGGGAGAGGAGGTGCAGAGAATCACGGAAGGTCGTCTGTCGGATGCCGAAAGGAGAGCAGGGACAGGAGAAGCAGGAGATGCGGTGAACCAGGGGGGGTGGAGGGAGGAGACGAGTGAGGGGGGAAGACCGATTGGGTGTTGAGAGAGAGAGGGGGGGAGAGAGTGAGTGAGTGAGTGAGTGAGGAGGAAGTGGAAGACAACGAGAAGGTGAGGCGGCTAAGATGGAGAGGACAGACGCGGTTGATGGGCGAGGCCGTCTGGATTCACGGATGGGGAGGTGGTGTGCGGTGAATGTCGACGGTGAGAGAGAGGGATGGTTGGTGAGGAAGCCAGCCAATGTGGGAGGGAGGAGGCAGTAGGCGGAGGACGGAGACGATACCTTACTAGTAGTAAGGAGAGGAAGGAAAAGAAGCTGCTGCTACTTTTCTGCTTTCTGCTGTTGCTGCTGCTGCTGCTGCTTTGCTGCTTTGGCTTGCAAATGGGGCAACCCGCACCGCACCGTTACTTAGTTAGCTCCTGGTTTAGTTATCTCTCGTTAGCAGGTTCTTTTTTATCGCCCGCCTTTTTTTTTTCTTTTCACACCTCTGACAACAATTTCTCTTTCTGATGGTTGCAAGTTGCGCCACCGTTTGAAGTAATTTACCCTGGGCTGCTGATGAAACTCCCAAAGGAAAAGACTTCCTCATTCCACCCCCCCGTCACGCTCTTTTTCTTTACCCACTGAACGGCCAGATGAAAAAGCAACACAACGGCGATCCACAACCTAAGATAAGAGACAACTCACAGAGATCGGACTAAGGCCAATATGACGGCAACCTAGATAAACCACCCCCTTTTATTCTATCCTGTCGCGATCCTTCTCTCTTTCGTAATCTTTCTTCCTCTAGAATTTCGATCGTCTTGTCTTCCGCAATGATAGCGTGATGCCGAGGAAGCGCAAAGAGATGAGATGTGATGAGATGATGGTGGTGGTAGTAAATAATACCAGACCGAGGAAGAGAGGGTGGAGGAAGGAGGAGAGCCAAGTCAAGTCATCCAACACCCAAAAGCAATTAAAAACCGCAACTTGATCGGATCCGATCGATAGAATAAGACGAAACAGAGCCGTGGTAGAAAAAAATGACGAGAGTAAATAAAACCGATGATGAAGAAAGGAATAAAGAGAAAGAAGGGAAGAAAAGCGAGGCCTACTCTTTCAGTCCATAACAGTTACTACTTAACTGCCTACTTACTTACTACTTACGAACTCCTACAATAACCGACCATGCTCCATCAAAAGCAAAACCATCAATCTCATCACACACTCTCTCCGGGCCCTAGGCTTGCCTCGGAAGTCAGGCTGGTTGTCTGTTCAGTGTAAGGTAAGGCTAAGGCAGGCAGGCAGTAATGATCCTAAGGCTCAGGCGAAAGTAAAGTAGTAAAGTTGAGTAAGGTTAGGTAACACCTCCAGTTGGGTAAGGAATCAATCATAATTTCGCCATGAATCCCGTCACACTGAGCATCAGATGCTGAGCCAATCAATCTGGCTTGCCCAGACGGTCGCACTGACTGCGCCTGTCCTAGCTTGATTCGCTACGCGCCCAAGGAGGAACAACCTAGCAGTTAGTGAAGCTAGTAGTCAGTAGGCAGTAGCAAGTAGTTAGCAGTGATTGTGATCAACTGCCACCACCCCCGAGGGTGTCATCGACGAGGGTAGGTAACAATGAGGCCAGGGTCAGGGCTATGCCATGCCATGCCATGCCATCCCAACCTCGCACGGGGCTGGTTGGACAGCACCGACCGCCCTCTTCTTCATCTCGTCTATCTAGTAGTGGCTTTGTACTACTTCCTAGACTAGATATTCAGCTTTGCAAACGCCCAGACCGACCCCAATAAAACGCCCCCGCGCTAAGTTTCATGACGGGGCCCAGATTCCACCCTGGGGATCGATACATATCAATCTGCTTTCCCTTCTTCATTCCCACCCCCCCGTCCGATCCTCAGCGCTATTATCGTCGCACCACTACAGCAATCAATCAGAACCTACAGAAAACAAGGCGCAGAAGTAAAACTCCAATCAAAAAGTACCAATGCTTGCTATATATATATAACGTGACCCATAAATCATCTAGTCTAGTCGTAACATCTATAATATCATCCCGCAGGATCATCCACTGCCGGCCGTTCTCGCCGTTGCAGCTTGAGTTTCATGGCGCAAGCCATCAAGGAGAATCCAGAACGCCAAGTGAATGCTCGCACAAACGGCACTGTCGGCCTCAATCCAAAAGCATGAAAAGAAATGGCAACCAATCAATCATCGAAGTATATAGTTTGGATTGTACACAGTCCATTTTTGGATCCCCAAGTCATGGGGGCTTTTCACACCGCCTTCTCTATCCCATGCGGGTTTGCGACGGTTGACAGCAGGCGGAATAATAATAGAGTGCCCTTGCAATCTAACCGGGATGCTCTCCCTGTATGTGTCTGTACAATATGGCAGATTCAAGCGAAGGGTACATGAACGCCAATGCGGTCTATCAGGTTCGTTTCGCACGCCCCTCAGGCTCAGCCTCATCTTCAACTGGGATCGGCTCGTGGTCGGATGACTCGCTCATCTACTCCATCGTTAATCAATTGGTTCAACATCAATGCCATCTTCACAAGCACATACCTTATCCAGTTTGTAATTCGTCATCAGTAGACTGAGCGGGATCAGCGGAATCGTGACAACGAACGCCAACACCAGGAGCTTGTTCATGGTCTCCTGGTATGCGCGATTGATCGCTACCCGGACGGGGGAGCCCATCGGGTAAGACAATGCCTTGGTCAACTTCCCGAAGATTTCACCCGCATCGGATTTGAACTCGTCAGGGAGGTAGAGTTGCAGCTTTCTCGGAATATGATGTGTCCAAACGGCTCCTGATATGGCTGCTCCAACGGCCCCACCCATCTCCATAGAAGTCAAAAACATTGCCGTCGCTGCAGCAACTTCTTGGTGGCTAGCAGAGGCCTGAACGCCCAACTGCACTGGAACATTGAGGAGCCCGCCGCCCATGCCAACGATAATCTGCGTCCCCAAGATCTGCGCCGGTGAGCTTCCTTCCTTACGGTAGAGCAACATCAACAGAATTCCACCGATGTAGATGACGCAACCGCAGGTGACATAGATCCGGTACCGGCGCGTATATTTAATGAGCAATGACACGACGAAGGCTGCAATAGTCGACGTGAATGCAAAGGTTTGGGTCACACGGCCAGCCGTGGCAACATCATAATCCTGAACAACCTGCAGGTAAGAATAAAGGTAAGGTTGAACCGAGAAATAGAATGCCACTAAGACACATTAGCAGAGTGCTTAAATTGGTGGAACAGTGTGATCTTACTGAAGTAGAAGAAGGCCAGAGTACACCCTGCGAGCGCTGTTCGGTCCTTGAGTAGATGCAAGGACAACAGAGGCTTGGGAGCCAGTTTCTTTGAGGTTTCCCAGGCGGGAAGCGCAAAAAGGCAGAGAATGCCAATCACAATCATCGCGATGATGCTGCCATTCTTCCATCCATTCTTGGCGTTGGAAGCAAGCGTAAGAGGGACCAAAATCAAGGTCACCGCTGTTGAGAGCAAGATCAGACCGAACATGTCAAGATCGTACCAAGTGTGGCGGATAATTGAAAGGAGGCCTCGTCGATGAGAGTGTCTAGGCTTGATCAAGTTCAGTCTTCGAGCCTTGCGTTGGTTGAACAATAGCGAAAGTGCCAACGGAAGAAACGAGGCAGGTAGGAGGATCGACCACATTCCATAACCCCATCGCCAGGATGTATGCTGAAGCACTGCATTTGCAATAGTCGGGCCAATCCAGACCGTGACCAAGAATGGAAGCTCTGGTAGAAGCGCCAGGAGCGCACGGTTCAATAGGCTGCTGCTGTCAGCAATAAAGACCTGTTGAAGTATCTGCAAGCCGGTAGATCCGGCAGAGTAGAAAATCTGCGCGGAGGCATATGTCTGAACGTTGGTCGACGCAGCCATTTGGATGTATCCTAGAACGTATATGAGGATGCTGACACAGAACGCTTCGAACCGACCGAAGACGTCGGCTACCTTAGCCATAGGAGGCTTGATAACAGCTACGAGGGTCAGCAGAGAATAAAATTAACCCCAAGGGAAAAATATACTCACCGTTCACCACATTTTGAACAACGAGAACCGTAGAGATAAGGGAGTGCTTGCTGAAAGCACTGGTAGCATAAGCCGAAAGGGACATCACGGTTTGGCTTTCGAGCGAGGTACAAAAAGCCATGAGGAAGATGCTTCAACACCATTAGCAACCACGAAGGATCTTGAGAGCAGACACCAATCCTGATGATTTACGAGGCTTACCTGACATATGCTATAATCAACGACCGTGTTGTCCATGTCAGATTGATCGCTTCAATCTTCCGAACACCCTCCTGAACCGAATCCACCGAGGATTCTACTTCACTATCATGCCCTTCAGGGTCGTATTCCGCCTGAAGGAGGCGCTCCTCCGCCTCCCTGTTGTCTTGATCCATTTGATCGAGGGTACCATATGAGACTGTTGAGCGGTGGTCGAGAAGGGGCATCGCGGCTGCGCCGTAATCGTTGATGGATGGTATCGCTGGGTAGCTATAAGATGACCAGGGTCCATTTATTGCGACAGGTCGTCAAATACTTCGTCGTGGTGAAGGTAGCAGATGAAGCGACGGTTTGAGTCCGATAGTTTCAATGTCGAAGTAGCAGGCATGAAAAGGACGGAGCAGGCTGACGATTGCAAGGCTAAGCGGACGTAAAAGGGTATCTGCGACCTGTACCAGCCAGATCCACCAAACGAAAAAGCAATACACTAGCCAACGAAGAGGGGGTATCAAAGTCTAAAGAATAAGCAGGGTAAGAAAAAAGCAAAAGACACTAGCAAGATGGAGCACCCCGAAGCCAGGTTTGGGTACCACATGCATCAGTTAGGTCACCAAATCAAGCAGCGGAATGCGCAGCACGCGTGGATCGCCAGATCTGGCGTACAGCCCGGAGAACGGAGGCCAAGGGGCTCAGCTATGAGTCTGCAAGCCCAAATCAGGCTCCCCGATATGATTCACACCACTGGACACGATCGACAGGCCGCACTTATGCAAGTCCAAGTGGGAGGCCCAGGACCTAGCCTATGGGCTAAACGCCCGTGGCCCAGAAGGGTAGTGTGGCACCCGCTGAATTGCTGCACCAGATAGTCCGAACGGAGCTGTCAATGTTTTGTTTTGTCCCACGCCAGTCGTTGGTCGAATGAGACCGAGGGGACTTTCGGATGGGCTGGATGGTTGCAAAGCTTGTGCCTCGGCCACGGGCACCCATTGACGGGGAAGGGACGGGAGTTTCTTTCGTAGACGGATAGAAGGCGGGAAATGAGGAGGATCGAGTGAGCATGTACCCCTGGGCCTTGCTGCAAAGAAGGCTTCGACTGCAGGAGTTCACTAGGGAAAAAGCGTGGTGGTGTTGGTGGGTGGGGGGAAGGATAGTGTGGCAAGGCGACCGGGATTCTGAATCCTACGCAGGCGGGCAACTGAACATCAGATATGATAAGATCACCTGGTCCGGCGGTCGGACCCGGAAAAAGGAAAGTCTGGGATAAACAATAAGATGGATTTTATATTATTCGAGTATATTACAATGTAGTTCTTGTGTTGAAGAAGATATATTAAAATAAAGAGTATGTGCAGCATCAGCATATATACTGCTGCCCTTTTTATACTGTTCCTTTTAGACCGCCTGACATTCTGCTCGTAAGAAGAATGAAGGCGCGCATCATCCACGCTTCCCCCTTGCAGGCCGAACCTGACTGATCCAACACCGTACTACTACTACTATACTATTGCACAGCGTAATATTACTACTCCATTCTCTCACATTTTTCACCCACTCTTTGAATGTCTTATGTCTTATGGAGACACAGAGTAATTGTAATCACGCCAACGAAAGAAATCAGGGATCCCGGAATTATTTGATTGCTCAGCAAAGACTCTGCGTAATCGTCAATGAGAAATCCCGGCCCCATCGCATGATTGGGGGAAGTGGCACAGCCGATGCTGGATGACTCGGGAACAACCGCTCCTGGTCATCATCCGTCGGTCACGGGGTGATGCATAGTCTCCGCAGCCTACAGTTTTACTCATTACCCCTCGAGCAACGATCATCCCGTGTGAGTAATAACAATCACCGGATCATCTGGGTAAGACCATCCTGGATAGGAGATTCGACACTTTCGAGGGGTGCGAAACTCCACAGTGAATATTGACAAGAAGGCGCGAAAGCCGCAGGAAATCCATGCGATATTTTTCTGGTCAGTCGTGTTCACGGAAGAGTCGAGCCGAACTTTAACGATCCACCCACTTACTCAAAAGGGTAAAGATATTGTATTGGGCTTCAAGTCCGGTTCGCAACCCTCCGGAATGGGTACACTGCCCACTGTACGACACCGCTGTGGTAAAGCTTAGCGTTGTTTTCTTCCTCGTATAGGTTGCACACGGAGTTTTCTTGCGGTTGGTCAAGATTCTTCTTCAAGTGCGACTACTTTTTTCATTTCTGTTCGCTTCGAGTCGGATCAGTTCATATGGGCTGCATTTCTTGCATATAGACCAGATACTCTTAGTTACCCTGCTCCCCTCTTCCACCCCCTCTTTGGATTTTAATCCCTCATCTCCAACCCAGCAGGTAGGCCATGAGCTCGGTTCTCAAGAATGTGAATATGCTGGCCATAAGTGACGCCCTATGCTGGTGTTATTTCATGTGATCTGTTTTGCAGAAATCCATGCCCCCAATAACAGCTGGCGTATTACCTATCTATGCATTCAGTCATCCATGATGGTGGTGGTCGGTGCTTCTGGGGATCGAACCAGTGACGGTAATGGAGCTGGCAGATAGCCGGATCTCAGTTATGATTGGCAAGCATTTTCAGTGACACTCGAATACTACTATCCAGCACACATCGAGGACTGCTACTACAAGCTTGCAAATTCAGCAGTACGTTTTCTTACGGTCCGGGACTGAGATTGCATTGTACCATTCTATTTCAGGTAGGGTACCTGAAATCCATCATCCGAAGTATCAACATTATAGGGACTGCCTATCGACTCAGGACAATATCTAGATGACATGACCACCATGGACATTATGCATAAGATACATTTGCACACAGGACATCCATTAATCTGACGTGTCGAGTATCAGATGGCCAAAGTTCACCACCAGGTCCTCCCCCCCTTCTTTCGAAGGCCGTGCTGCATAGAGCCCAACCCAGAGGTCTTGAACATTCGGTTCCTCGAACACCCAGGTGACTTCCCGAAGAGGGGATTTCTGGATGCCTTCCACAAGATAAATCCACAGGCTATTGTCTGACTCTCGGACCAGCTCTAGTGTCGCCGCTCCACCTCCTGACGGGACAGGCTGCAGACTCCAGTCCGCCCAGTTGTCCTTGGTGACGGTACTCAGGTGAGGTCGGCCACGGGTGAGTTCGATGCCTGTCTTGACCCATTTCCGGGTGCCCCCCGCACCGTTGAGGACAAGGATGAGCCCACCCTGGTCATAGTTTTGCTGCCAGACTGCGTTGAAGGCGACTCTGACCCGTTTGAACGACTTCAACGGAACACTCCGGTATAGAATCGGCGCAGTGAATGTGTCTGTGGATGGAGGTTTGGACCAAGCATCTGTTTGAGGGGCCGCTCTGATGGAGAATTGGGCGGGGAGGATCCCATCACCGGGTACCTTCTCGGAGGAATTGGCGAAAGTGAACTTGGTCATGATTGCCGGCTGGTTCCGTGAAGAGGACGCTTTGGCAATGTCTGTGAGATCCTCACCCCGTTAGACGGTTTCGAACTGGAAAAGGGTATTTGAGGGAGGGTATTTGGAAAGGAAGGGTAGGAATGAGATGGAGTTATTCCAAAGGAACAAAATACAAAAGGTCTTGGAAGGAGAAAGGAGAACCAGAGATAGATGATGTGAGGAAGAGCAGAGGTCTCTTGTAGCCAAAATGGCCTACGTCATATTGATTGGGGCAGCCAGCGACGCCATACTAGTAGTAGACACTCCGAGCTAAAGCCAGCATCCGGATTGACCTGGGCCACATGTACTCGAATAGGTATGCGGTCGCAGGGAGATCCTCACCGTCTGCGGTACAGGGTTTGGCCTATGACAGCTATGACTCTGGGTGAGTGGGGTAATCGGAGACTACGGGGCGATTAGAAGCACGACGATAAGGCCGGTCGGAAGGTAACTATGGGGCAATTGTCTGGTACTACTTACTGTTAAAAGTAGGTAGGCCTGATAGAAACCCCCCGGGGTTCCCGGCCGTTATCAGTAAACTCACTCCTCACTGGTATGGTTTTGAGACTTCTTTAGACACATCCCCCCATGTGGTCTGGGGTTCCCTGCAGGGAGTCCCTCCTCCCACAATGGCCAGTTCCACGATGGCCGGCAAAGCACGTGAGCGGGGAGACTCCTTTTCCACCGATGACATAAGCAGGCGTGCGCTCCCCTTGGTGGCAAAGGGGAAAACCCCGTGGCCTGGCGAGGCAAAACTTTGGGGAAAAGAGGATGGTTTGTTTGCCTGGTTGCTGGCCTGCCTCTGGTTTTTCAAGATCCATTGTATCCTAGGCATGGGCTGAGCAAAGTGATTGCTTCGACTTGCCTGTCAAGATCTGTTTGCCATGTCTATTGGCTACTATTATCCAGATGATTCCAGGAGAGTGCCCCTGTGGTCGCGACTCTTCTCATCAACTTATGCCGGTTATCGTCACTTGAAGCCTTCGGGGTCGAGGTACTCCGGTCGCTATCGTCGTTCTTTATTCCGCCGCATCTGCAACTATGTTTCTGCCGTTATCGGCATTATATTCCTTCTCATCGTCCTGAACTCCATATTCCGGTCCTCCTATACCCAGCCGCCGCCACATTACTTGTCGCTTCGGAATGCGGTGTCTCAGTCAACGAAATCCGGCCGAGGCAACATCCGCAATGAGAAGGTTTTCATCGCAGCGAGCTTATATGACCCTGATGGTGATCTAGCACGAGGACATTGGGGGGACAGTGTGCTTGAGCTGATCGATCTGCTCGGAGAAGACAATGTTTTCTTGAGCATCTATGAGAACGACAGCGGTCGAGATGGAGAGAGTGCGCTTCAAGATCTGGCGGATCGGGCCATGTGCCAGAAGTCCATTGTTTTCGAGCAACATCTGGACCTGGCCGGTTTACCGACAGTTGCCGTTCCCGGCGGTTCAAGGCGGATCAAACGTATCGAGTACTTGGCGGAGGTGCGGAACCGAGCTCTAAAACCGCTGGACGACCAGCCGGGAGTGCGCTACGACAAGCTGCTCTACTTGAACGACGTTGCATTCAACCCGGTGGATGCGCTCCAGCTTCTGTTCTCCACCAATGCCACGGATGATGGCGTTTCTCAATACCGGGCCGCGTGCGCCGTGGATTTCATCAACCCATTCAAATTTTATGACACTTATGCGACACGCGATCTGCAGGGCTTCGGCGTGGGCGTGCCTTTCTTCCCGTGGTTCACTAGCGCTGGGCAAGGTCAGAGCCGCCAGGACGTACTAGCTCAGAAAGATGCTGTGCGGGTGCGGAGTTGCTGGGGAGGAATGGTAGCATTCGACGCGCGGTTCTTCCAGCGCGATACAGATTTATCGGTCATGGATGTACAGCCTCAGCTGTCTGGAGAGGACAAATCACCTGCTCGGTTCCGGGCGTCACATGATACGTTCTGGGAAGCTTCTGAGTGTTGTCTTATCCATGCCGATATTCAGAAGCCTCAGCCGGACCCAGAGAAGATCACAGACACGGGGATCTATATCAATCCATATGTCCGGGTGGCGTACGACACCCGCACCCTTTCCTGGCTAGGGACTACGCGGCGGTTCGAGAAGCTGTACTCTTGGATCCATGATATTCTCAACCATTTCGTCGGCATGCCTTGGTTCAATCCTCGACGAACCGAAGTCCCCGGCCAGATATCTCAGGAGAAGGTTTGGATCCCTGATGAACATGAGGAGGGGAATGGGTCATTTCAACTCGTTGATCGGGTTGCAGGTAAAGATGGCTTTTGCGGACGCCCGGGACTCCAAGTCATCATCGAGCATCGCAAAGAGGGCCAGAAGGGATACGAGGAGATTGAAGTACCTTCATAAGGGATTTCGATCAATGTGTAGATATTCCCTGCATGCATATTGCATGGTTCTCTTTACTGTATAGGCCACGAGTTATGGGTACATAAATATCATCTATAGACGTCCATGGACATAGTGCAATCCACATATATCACATTTCGAAACAACATTGGATGGGATAATGATGCTTGTAGATCTGTATTACAAGAAACCGCCCTCGAACTGCCATTCACCGTCGAGATCACCCTCGGTCACAAGCTATCCTGGCGGGACTTGCCAATCATATTCGGCCTCAAGTGTTATTCCCTACTATGCTATTTATATTTGTAGTATGCTAGCCCCTCTTGTTCCTTTGTCTGGCTTCCTGTGCAGTTGCTGGTTCATCTTTCTTTTCATCTGTTGCCTAGCATCCTTCCTACTCCAACCATCTTCCCTCTTGTTAGACACCTACATATTCCCTAATATCCCATCTCAAACGTTTCATAATCTTTCTAGTTTATCATGGACAAGCGCCCGGTCCCTGCAATGGAATTTGCCAGCAGGGTCACCAGTATAATCTATGGTGTCGTCGGAACCTTCATGGAGAAGACGTCTTTCGGTCTCGAAGAGAGCCGACATGCTCCCAAGAAGACACATCTCTCGGTCAGTCTCTCCCTTTCCTGCTGTTTGTCTTGTACCGGCCTTTTCGCCCATTGAATACGTCTTGTTGTAATTTACCCTAGCACGGTGAGAGTCTTCTCGCTGGGCTGACTGCTAGACCTGAACAGGAACCCCCTCTTCGTCGTTCAGGTAACGAAGCCACGCACTTCACTGTCGACGAAAATAAAACTCGCCCATCCTCTGCTCCTCATTTTCCATCTCAGTCTTCTCCGTCGATACTTCCCGTCGACACGTTCCTTTCCACTTGTTCTCTTCCTTCTTCTCCTCCCTTATCTTCTTCGTTTGGCAACACCATGGAGGACAAGGAAAATACCAAGACGTTCCCTGTCGCCGATGTGGACGACACGGTCAGCTTCATGGCTGCTGCTCGCTCCTTGAAGCTGCCAAAGACTTATGGTACTCCTACTGTTGCTGTCGACGCGTCCAGTGAGAAGGCCAGTACTTCAATGAGTCGTCCCGAGTCTCGTGCTGATGCTGATGTTTTTGGTAAGTATTCATGCGACCACAGCCATTGTGAAGTTGAGACGCGACATATCTAATTTTGTTGTCTTCTGTAGCACCCTCCGGTCAGAACACTTATGACGACGAGTGGAGTATCAAGCCTGATGCCGAAGAATCTGAAGTGAAGCCCGAGACCCCCAAGGCTGGAGTGTCCAGAGTTTTTGGTGACTCCAAGCCCCAGGGCTACAATGCTGCTGCTAGTATCAGCGCTGGTCCTCGTGGTTCGGAAGCTGTAGCTTCAGGTGACGCCAGTGAGGTAGAGGACCGTGAGAACCTTACTACTTTCAAGAGCTGGGGCACCCCTGCTGCTCGTGACAAGCCAGGTATCATATATCATATCCTATATTCCGGTGGTTAATTTACTTACACGACTTGTTTTAGCTTCTCGTGTCCGTCGTATCATCCTCCGAGGCTTGCCTGCTACCTGGTGCACCCCTGCTAAGGTTCTGTCGCTTGTGCACGGTGGCAATATCGAAAGTGTTCACGTCCATGGCAACGGAACTGCTCATATCCTCTTTTGTGAACATGAAGCATGCCAGGCCTTCTACGACAAGTATCCGAACGGCATCGACCTTGACAAAGAAAGAAGGATCACCGTGTTTGTGGAGATGGGCAAGGAAGTTGACGTGGTCAGCTCCCAGCTTTCTTTCAATCTGTCTGTTGGCTCGACTCGCGCCGTGAGAGCTGTCGGAGTCGACATGAATGCCAGCATGGCGCAGCTGTACAGCATGGCCTGTGGCAGTGGTCGCAAGGTTGAGAAGATCCTGGACTCATATGTGCCTGGAGACGTGAGTCTTCTTCTTCCTTTATCCCTCTTATGTATAGCATACTCATATTACTAGGCTCGCAACGTTGTCTTCCGCTTCTGCTCCATCGAGGATGCTGTGCGGTTCCGCGGGATTCTCGTGCGTGATCCTGAGTGGGAGCACTGCAACGTTCAGTATGCGACGGACCCGTAGGTGCCCTCGTGTCAATCTATGATGAATGCTGCTAACCTCGCTCAGCTGCGAGTTCGCTACCAGTATGCACATTGACTGAAGTCAAGCAGACTATGTTTGGCTACCTTCATACGGGGCGGTTAAACAAGATGGTCATGTTTAAGGCGGATTCGGATATGGAGTAAAATGGCAGGATATGCAGGATGTATCTGGGGTTGGGGGAAGATTGCTTAACGGACAGGCGTTGTGGTAACCTGATGAATTTATTACACCTCAGATAGTCAATAAAAGCCTGCGACATGCATGGATGTAGTTCCACCAAGGCTTGCAACATGAGGCAATATCCCACTACCAAGTCATTGATTCACTATACAGCATAGTGTATAAGTGACGACTAGGTCTGGTACCTAGATTCGTATAGACATGTGCGCGGTGGAAATATAGCTAACCCTTTCCAAACCGTAAGAGAATATTAGCAACTTCTGATAAAGAAATCCCCCATAGCAAAATCCATCATACACAAGACCATGGCATAGCATATCAGTAAAGCACCATACAACCCCGGACCTGTTGTAGCAGAGTCATGACAGACAAGTCAACTCCTTCAACCCCGTTACACTGGTCCCCAATGTTAGATTATTCTGGCAAATAGACATAGTCCATGTCCACTGAACTTAATATAATGGTTCATAACACGTCCTCGAGGGGTATCGACAACAAGAGAGAAAGGATAGAAAAGAAGGGCCTAGAGCAAGATTCCATCCAGGCTAGCTTACCAAACATGTTTATGTGGCATGTAAGGTTCCAGTTAGCAATCGACTACCCGGGCAAAAATCGAAATTAGTGCCTTGCCATAATTCAGCTAACCCGCTCAGGCAATCTCTTTAACTTCTGCTCTCCACTTCTCATCTACTTCTAGAAAACTTGATACAGGAGTCCTTCAGCCATGACCAAATTTCTTGTCGAGAGGCATGGAGATATCGGAGTCGTCAATAGCATCCACGATGGCAGCATAACGCTGTATACTTGGCTACAGTAAACCTTGAACCCGCAGCAACTCTTGATCTTCTTCGTTCTTTGCAGGGGGTCTTTCGAGAGGTGGCCCGAGAGCCAGCCTATCGGCCATTGCGCTATCGCAGTGAGCAGTCCACTTCCTCATGGCAACACTTTTCATTCATGAGCGAAGGATTCGAGGGATACGAGTTAAGGCAAGCCACATTATATTAGTCTGTCTCAAGTGATTTTGTCAGTGCTTGAGAGACTTACTTTGGACAAGCTTTTATTTCTTAAGGCTTATCTTGGGACGCCTTAAGGCTTCACTCCTGCAAGGCTCGTCATTCAGTTTCGGCACTGTCATTATTATGTGAGCAATCTTCTCTGCAACCTACTTCTTTGGTCAAAGAATTGGTCTAACTTGTATAGTTGCTGCATATAGTTTTCCCGTTGAGATTAAGTTTTACTACGCAATAGAGATCAAGTGACGATCAGCCACGGCACGCTGACATGGCACAACAAGGAGAAGGCTTAGAAGATTGACAAAAGCCCGTCGAGAAACAGGGAGGAGACATTCAAGGTCATCAGCGTCCTCCACCTATTGAACGTCATGATGCAGTCGGAGACACCCTCACAGGGTGAGCAGCCCATCAACAACTAAACCTCTCTGCATCTCTTCGTCAGTACTCATCACCTCCCTTTCCAGAGTCCTCACTCAGTGAGTCCGGCTAACGAGCCAATACCTCGACGACCTGCAGGATGACATGGATGTGGTATTGCAGTACAACACAGCAGGGTCAGAAAGTTCCACGGTGTCTACAGATTATCCTTTGATCGGTGTAGAAATCTAGAGATACACGGTGCACATCATCCCAGTCAACACCATGGAGCTCTTGTGCATGGTCTGATCGTCAATGATACTAGTCACTTGGACAACGCCGGCTACCCTCGGGGCTGTCTGCTCTGTCAGTGAGACATTAGGTGACAAAAATGGCGTGTATGAAGATATAATGCCAGCAGCTTTCGGGACTTTAGTGTGCGGTAATAAGATCCAGTATGGCCTCCGATACTTTGCTTAGGATGGCAGCAGACAGCAGCATGGGAACTGTGAATACCTCTAGTATTTTCCTGAATTACTACTATAAGTCGATAACTAGATACTCTCTGAATGAAGTAATAAATAATTTTAGAACTCAGAAGCCAGTACTTTGTCTTAATCCATCCCATGTCTAACTACAGAAATAACTCAACTCGATCCTAGTAGGTAGTATATCCGAACATTATATAGTGAGAGATATATATTGAGCAGTATTATACATGATCTACCAACACGCACATCAGCCACGCCGCACCATCCTGAGGAAGCAAACAAATAAGCTATAGTGCTATTCAGATAATCATAATATCGCAACTAATGCCTTTCATCAAGAAATCGTCTGCCCATCAACCATACAGAGCAATACATACTAGTACACGAAACCATACACCATGATACATAACACGTATACAATACCATACACCGCCAAGAAACCTCCCTCGGACATAACGGACATAATAACCCTTTCTCCATCTATCTCAATGACCAAGACAATTGCCTCAACCAGAGTAACAGAGTAGTAAATTATCAAAGTCGAGAACAGATACAATCATAGAGCAGACACAGATATACACATTCCACCGAAGCAGTTCTATTCCATTTCAACCCCAACAAACACCTATACACACACAAAAGCATTGCCAAACCCCGCCAAAGACCGATACCAATCCAAACATTCCAATTACCCAAGGCCAAGCCAAGTGAAAAATCATACATAAACCTAGCATTCCAAACCCAACATATTCTTGAAAATTCTCAAATCCCGAAGACAAAGATTCTGTGTAGTGTGATGTAACTTTACTTTTTTCCCTCCGATTCAATTTCATTTTAGGAGTAATCTGATTCAAAATAAACTGTTTCCTAATTCTTCTTCTTCTTCTTCTCCTTCTCCTTCAATGAAATGATCTGCATTCTGCAGGGCTTTTTTCTGTTTTCTCATGACTCATGAGTTACATATGTGTGTATCGTACCCTACATATCCCCTATCCCTTTCTTTAGGCGTTGTTGCTGTTGCTGTTGCTGTTGCTGTTGCTGTTGCTGTTGCTGTTGCTGTTGCTGTTGCTGTTGCTGTTGCTGTTGCTGGTTTTGATGCTTGGCTGTCTTTATCTGCTGGTTTTCTTGATCTGGGGGTTGAGTATGTACTGCAAGTAGTTCTAGTTGTGGGTAAAGGGGGGTGGAATGGATGGGTGCTTTCTCCGAGGAGATATATCTATCTGAGGTCATTTCATTTTTCATTATGTTGCATAGGTAGGCTGAGACAGACATGATGAATGAATGAATGCGGATATACTACTTGCATAGTACATGGTACATAGGACATACTTGGTTTGGATGATAATGTACATAGTAGTTTCACCGATGATTCTCCATTTAGTAGGACCCTGTCTACCTGCCTACCTGTCTGGTCTGCCATTGCAGTCAGGTTCGAATGATGCATAGTTGCAGAGTTGCATGTGGGCACTGTGTGTGTGTATGTTGGGTCGAGGTGGTGTGTGTGAGTGTATCCGCCTGCCTGCACCGGAATCTCGGACCGGTAAAGTAAGTAGGTATGCTCTATGCTCTTCCTACTACTAATACTCTTCCGGTACGGGGAAGAAGAAGAAAAGGGGGGGGGAAGGAACTGTGGTTTAGTTGCAATGCATTTCCTGGGTTAGACTTGAATAACTCATTAGTATGTATGTTATGTTACGCTACTTATGTAGTGAGAAAGAGAGGGGAAAGGGGGCAAAGGGGAAGAAGGGGGGTACACAAGATGGAAGTACTTATGTATGCACCTTCTCACATGTAAATGTACTGCTACATACCTAAGTATCTACTTACCTACCTACTTACTCTACGTAGTAGAAGTACCAAGTTGGATGCATGTGACTACTACTATTACTACTACTTCATCGTTATGTCGATAGAGGGGACATAAATTATCAACTTATGCATGTTGTGTATATCTTCTCACTTTACATAATAATATAGTGGTGGTCAAGTTGACTGAAGAAGGGGTAAGTCGAAATATCTTGGTATTCTTTTCTCCTTACGTCGCTGGTTTTCGTCGTGCTCGTTATGGATACTACCGTAAGTAGTAGGATTAGTAGGTAGAGAGCAATTAGATGATACGTAGTACTTAGGTAGTTACCTAGTACCGACCCCCGGATATTTAATTATTGGCAAGCGAATAGAAAGAGAGGCCAAGAAGAGGGCAGGCCGGGGAAGTGGAAGGAAGAAGCAGCAGAAGAAGGGTAGTATTTGTCATTGTTTATCGCAGACTCGCAGTAGTTACTTACCTCGGTCGGAGGGTACATATCCAGCTAGCTAGTTAGTTTAATTATTTACTCTGCACTAGATTCGATAATTATCCTGTCTGCTAATGTTTTTGTATACGAACACGGACAATCATATCACAACAAAATATAGGATAGGTACTTACAATAACCGATGTTGAACATTGTTTAGTTAGTTAGTTAGTTGGAAAGTGACGATCGCTTTTTTCTTCTTGCTCCACACAGCAAAGCAGCACGCGGGGCCTTGCCCGTGTGTACATACATCCATGTAAACTAAAACTACATACTACTACTAACACGCTACGGAGTACCTTATAAGGAAATTGCCTGAAACAACAATGAGTCCAAAACCCATGGTTACTAACCGAATCCATTCGGTGCTCAATCCTGGGTCGGTCGGTCGGTCGGTCGGTCGGCCGGCCGGCTGGCCTTGTCAGTTTTTCTTGTCGCTGTCTCTGTCTGCCTGTTTTGGTCTCCACTACGAGAGAGGGTTAGTAGGTAGGCAAGCATCCTTGGGTTATTGGCAAGCAATAATTAGACTAGACAAAAAGACGGATGTATCTCTATCTGGGGCTCTCCCCTCCCGCGCCGCCAATTCTGGATACAACCCTAGGGTATGTCGAGAACAAAGAAGGGCCAAGTTGCGAAACAAGGTCGAGAACGGGGGGATTAGCCTTGTTTTCCGAAGTGGATACTTGCACGGAGATCACCGAGAAGGGAAACAAAGAGAAATTGCTATGACGGGAGAGAGAGAGATATGTCTCGTTGGTATTACTACGATGTGTGGGGTGGGGTTTGGTTTCTAGCGATCGTGTAGATGGTTGGCATTTTTCAAGTTTCGCTGGTGAAAAGAAAAGTCGGGTGAACCAGAGGTTGAGAGATGCTTAGCAATGGGGAGAAACCATGGGTTCTCCGGGGGGGTGGTCCGAGGACTGGACCGAAGGAAGGGAAGGACTCCTCCGTGGGTTTCCATTAGCCAAGAAGGTCAAGTCAACCATTTACCAAGTCAGTAACAATGATGAGGTGGTTAGAACGTAAGGCAAGTCAACTAAACGAGTGTGGATGGTGGGTGAGTGAGGCATTCTGCATGACCGTGTTCAAAACTACTCCTGGTTGATAATTTAGTCTAGTTAGTATCAGTCCGGAGTTAGGAGTAGTCAGTATCTAGTGCTACTCTAAATTAATATTCCGTCTCTTGAGCGGCTCCATAACCTCCTGCTGGAGGGAAGGAGAGGAGAGGAGGGGGTTGGTGGTCGAGAGTACTCCGGAGTCAAAAGAACAGACGAACAGACGAGGGAGACGAATGACCCCAACGAACATGGATCGGAAAGAGAGGGATGAGACAGGAATCCGGCTGCCTCCATGCAGGAGCAGCAGCCCCAGTTGTGCGAATGCGAGAAGAGACCGAAAAAAATAAATTAGATTAACTGGGACAATCAGTGCAGGCCACCGGCTGATTCTCGCAGCGCGAATACTACACCATGGACCCGACAGTCTGGTAGAGGGTGTGATAGTTGGGCATTAGTAGGCAACCTTGAGCAGGTTCCGTCCAGCTGAGGGGTTTTCTGAGTAGGCTGGTTGGTATCCCTGGTAAGTTTGGCAAATGGTCCCCGAGGCTGGGAGGAGGAGGGGGAAAAATGTGAGGGAAATTGCACTCGCTGTCCACGGTGGGTAAAAAAACCATGGATGTCTTGAACAATGAAAAAATTCATGAAGCTTTTCAGCACAGTTGTTTAGATATTACTTTTTAAGCCCTACGTAGGTTAAAAGCTGGCTCGAGCTGGTACCTGACTGACTCAGTGGATGAAAACGGTTAGGCATTTCTTCAGTCAGGATTAAGGCGTGGTAAGCAAGGAGTAAGCTTACCTGGGGTACGTCTTTGAGGGGAGGTACTTTGCTTTGCCCGTGGCACCATTTAGGGTGAATCCAGCGTGACACTGAAGAGGCGGCGGGCGCACCGGCTGTGACTGCTCTCAGGCAGAGAGAGGGAGAGAATAACTACACTAGTTTAGCAGCAGCAGTAACTAACTCTTGGGTTGTTGTCTGAGACGCGGAATCGATCTCGCTTGCCGACGTCGATCGAACGGCCGGCCGGCTTGGATTGGCCGTGAATGAAGGCGTATGGTATGGTATCGGACCTTACAGCGCGCCGGCCCATCCGGGCTGCAGCCAGGCTTAACTCAACAGAGTCACTGTAGGGGAAGGTCTGATTGCTTGCATGGCAGGGGCCAGCTTGCTGGGGTCAATGCTTCCCTCTCTGGCTCCCATGGCAGCCCACACTAGTACGTATTCTGGCTGTAAACCAAAAAAGCCCTGGGGGGAATGGGAAAGTCATCGACGCGATCATCCTATAGTATGCATCATTATTGGTTTGCGTCGGGATAATTATAGCCTCCTGTACTCCGTAGCCCAGTCCAGTCACTTTCCCTTCGCCCCCCCGACATACATCATCCTGACTGACTGACTGACTGATTGACGATGCACCGCCCTTGTGATATGAAATTGTTGTCGAGCACATGCATACATACATATATACGCGTACATACTTCTTTACTTCACTTAGTGACTTACCCACATTAGTAAGAAGTAGGTAAGCTACCACTCTAACTAACTAACTGGTCATAGTAGTTAGAGTAATCTACGGTGTGCGGACCATCTCTGTAGGTACCAAATAACACTAGTACGTCCCAAGTCGGAGTAGTTAGCAAAAGGGTCGATAGCACCCGTCATAAGCTATTGACGGGGGACAGCCATTCCGAACGCTAGCCAAAAGACCGTCTACATACGGAGTACTTCCTTTCTTCTCCTTCTTCTCCTCTGGCCCCCCACTCAGTTTCTTAAACGCCGGACTCTAAGGACTTGGCTGGTCTCCGTTCTCCATATGACTCCATCACGTAGCGTCAGAACAGATGTACAACGACTGCGCCGCAAATCCTCGTCTACGACAGTCTAGACTGTTACTTTAGATGTCAATCATTGGCTCGGAGTAAAGCTGATTGGTTGCAGGAATGTCGTCCGGCCGAACACAATGTGCAATAACGAAAGATGCCTGCATCTTGTCTCGCGCTTTCACTCCTGTCGCATACATTAGGTGTCAATCTCATTGTCTTGTCCCGAGGCATGCAATTTATCCTTTTCCCCCAGTAGACCGAAAATGAGAAAAAAAAAATTAAAATTAAAGAAAAAGAAACAGAACAAAATGGGTCTGCCTTACGGTGCGGCCACACTCGGGATCCGTACGTATCGGGAATCGGCATCGCGCATGGATTACTCGCTTCTGACTACTATACTAAGCCATCCACTTGACCTGCTAGGCATAGCGTTCGCCACTAAGTATACTATGCAGCGGACGACGGGGAGAAAGTGAGGACTGCGCTCGTTGCAATTGGCCCCACGTGTTGGGAGGCGCAGGGGTAAGAAATTCGTCGGTGCCTGAGGGAATGGGAAGAGGAAGGGGGGGCTCAAAGAGGAATGAGGCTGAAGGCAAACGAGTCTGAATGACTCCTTCAATCAACATAGTCTAAAACTTCCCGGGGAATCATCAAATCTGCCTACACAGCTCCGTATAATGAGCGATTTTGATCGAGTAAATATCCTATAGTAGTAGGTAAGGGTCTCACTCTCTTACGACATGTCCATCTACCACTCGGTGTTTGGCATTTTCGAGGGTTAATCACCGAGATTTCCCAACTGGGCAAGACAAGCCAACCAATCAGAGACAGGCATGGTTTGAGTTTCATCGTCAAAAGTCCACCAATAAGCCAAGTAATTGCGGCGAAAAGTCAATGGCAGCAGGAATGGAGGCAGACGGTGTCCATTTTCACCGCCGTGGCTGCGGCCTCGGACCTGGAGCTGAAGCTTATCGTCAAGGCGGATCTGAACCGGCCGCGGCTTGGCAGTCAGGCTCCGGTGCAGCCCAGAGCTTAATAATGCGGGAGTCCCCATAGGGAGCTTTGAAGAGAGAGAAAAACAAACGTAAAGAGGAAGTGATGAGCATGGTCGGATAAATTTTTAGTTTACAGAGGAGACACAGTGCGTGAATATTACCTACTGTGGACAAAAGAAAAAAAAAGCTCTGAATACGAGAGAATGAAAGAGGCGGGGGCTCCTTTTTCAAAGATAGTCGATCCACCAGAACCAAAGATCAGTAACTGCGCCAATTTCAAAAGGGTAAACAATCATGATGAGGATCCTCTTGACGGACAATTCAAGTATGGACATCTAGACGGTGGCGCGGACAATCTCACCCAACACCGCGCCACAGATCCTGGCGATCAAACGTGGTGAACGTGGTCTCAAATCCTACCACGCACAATGAGAAAGAAGGTCGGCCTCAATTCATCTAGCGCAGTAGACTACAATCCTTTGCCGCAGCGAAGGATTTGTCGCCCGGACCGAGCTGTGTCTTCTAGAACTTAGACAGGCACCAATCAATAATCATGGGCAAATATGCCCGTGGCTTTTGCCAAAGGTGCTCGTGAATATTCCTGCCGGATCTCCGTGCCAACCCCTTCCAAGGCTCTTAGCGTCGCCGTTCGGTGGATAGCCTGCCTGATAACTTTTTTGGTCGCTACTTAGATCAGCCCCGATCCGGACCGGTGGAGGCTAATGGTCTCGGAATGAATGGACTATGGAGACGGGAGGGGGGAAGGGAAGGGGAAAAAAAAATGGAGGCAGAGGCGGGGCTCATGGTGATTCTGCATGATGATCTGTTCAACAGGTTGCTGATGTGAGGTAGTCAGCCTAATGAGGTTCAGGTGATGTGGTTGATGATTGGAGAGGCGTTGTGCATCACTACTAACGCAGTGGTCACTGCTTATCGAGAGGACAAGAGGGAGCATCAGCTGATAATGAGACTTCCCCAAACTGATCTGCTGACAGGAAAGAGAATTAATTACAATACTTCGCTTCCGGGCGAGTGTCGGCGTTGTCTGGAATGAATACCAGAAATCCAGATTAATATTTATATTATTATTACACATGATGCAGTTCTACTGGGGTGATAAGGAAAAGGTTTGGCGAAAGTGTCAAGTCTACCAATGATCGGGAATTCCGTCGGGTAAAATTTGTGCAATCAAAGCATTTGATTAAGCTTTAGGATGCTAAATGTTGACACTATCCCTAAACGAGAGCACTTCGGAGAGTGCTCCGTGTGCGAAATGCAGCTCCAGCTTCACTTCGTGGTTAGTTTATTAGGCTGTTGAATTAATTGACATCTGACATATCCAGCCCGCAGCAAATCTGATCTGGGCTAAACGGGGCACTATAGCCTCAAGACTCTAGAGTAGAGGAATGGTCCAGTCGGAATGTTTGCAAGCTGAATCAAGACATCCCTTCCTTAGGCTCCGGAAGCTCTGGCCAAGTGTGGTGCCTCTTTTAGTCCACACCCGTCTTTCATCCTCTGTTCTGACTGCGTCGAATGCCAACAGCGGCCCCGCTTCTTCAAACCAAAGATGAATCCTCGCCAACCAGTGTCACGGTCAATATGACCATCAATAGTCAGGTTGGTGCTCAGCATTATGAGTGGTCCTCAGCGAAGAGGAGATACACGAGGCTGCAGGAATAGACTGCCTGGCCGTCTAAGCCATTGTCCGTCGACCCTCCCCAGGCAGCATAACTAAGCCACCGTCATGGTTCCATGCATTGGCCCATTGGAAGAAAGCAACATCATGTGCAACGCCGCATCACCGTTGAGCCTTGACGACCTTGACAGCGACATTTTTGCTGTTGTGCGAGGCAGAAAGGATGGGTTACTACTGCAACTACCTTGTCAAGGGGTGAGGGGAAGTTGTTAGTGACCAAAAAGCTCTGTAACTAAACCCGTCGGGATCTTCCCGTCCGTTCCGGTAAGTACGAACGTGTATGTTTTATATTGTTTTCTCTGGATATCCACTATGCATCGATTCACTACTCCTCGGTTCGTAAGTATGTTTCCTCTCTTTGCACTGAAATGGAATCTGAGGCAAGCTTAGAGTTGCGATCCTTGACCGATGACGGGCCGGTGGCTTTGACGGAACTATGGTATGAAAAGGGTGGTGGCTTCAGCCACCACGTCGTACACAATACAGGAACATATCGATCTTTCTGGAAGATCCAAACCAGGTGAGGCTCGGCACATATTCCGATATGTCACACAATGGCAACACAATGTCATCACAACATCCCTCATTAAGTTACTGTGTCCGGACTCGATATGTAGAACGTGCAATGATTCCCAATCGGGGCACTCAGGACTGGGTTGAATGGCTAGGATAGCCCCTGAAGGTATTACTTCATACGTGTGTGCTGGCTAGGCTGGTCTTTTGCATACCTCCCTGACCAGCAATAAGTTACACTTAACCTCGCTTGCAGGTTGACTAGTATAACAGGATATTATCGCCGCAGGTGCCAGTGGGGTCGATTTGGTTTCACCTACCAAGTGACAGCCTCACTACGTTTGGATTATTACGCAGGATGGTCGGTTGGACTTCGTAGTACGGAGTTCCGCAGGACCCCCAGGCGTTAGCCTAATCCTGAGGATGCTAGTAGTAGCGCTGCTACTAAGACACCAGCCTCTAGGCGCCGCGGCTGTGCCTCACTTCTTGCGCCCAAAGCTGGCGCTGGCAGAAAATGCCATCGGTCTCCTAGACAGCGCTGCAAACTTGAGCCGCAACGTTCTGACTTCTAGGTCATTTCTAGCCAACGATCCTAATCAATCCTTCCATTCCTGTTGAGACCTCGGCCTCCAACACCCTATGGGCGCTGCAACTGCAACGCTGTGCTACAGTTGCCTGACCGCTCGAGGGAGATGGTCACTGCATTGCATCTGATGCATAACCTTCAATAAGAATGTGATTATAGACAAGTTATCCCGGATTCGATTAGTTACACAGCCCATTCCAACCCAGTCCCAGACACATGGGATGGGCTAAAATATCCACCCCCTCGCCCGGTCGTGTAATTTCTTACGAGTCAGTGTCCTGGCGTGCTCGACGTCGATTGCTGGAATGGAACTGATCCCTGCCGCCCACTTTCTTTGTTCTCTTCGGCTTGGTCTCCACCACCGAGGATTGCGACATGCTGGAACGAGCCAACTACTGACCTGCCGAGCTCCGCCATTAATTAAAATGGCCCTTCGTCATAGGTTGTCTTGCCTGACTTCCCCGGCGATGAACCCTCACGTGACCGAACACAGCTGCGGCTACGCGTCGGATGAGAAGATGGTGGGAACTAAGGCAGAACAGGTGAGGGTCGCCCGTCGGGGGACGTGGCAGCAAGAGAGCTAGTAGTTGAAGTTATTGTTGTCGTCTAGCTAGTACCTTGTCTGGAATCACTCATCGTTGCAGCAAGTGCGACCTTTTGTTGCTACTTGCTAGCTGCCGTAGAGCAAGCAGTGGCCAGCTTGTCCTCAATGTAGACTATGCCCCGGAATACCCCCTCCACTCAAATCAGGGTTAGTTAGTTCTCCTGTCTCTCTTGTACGGAGCAGAGAGCTGGGGACGAAGGAATTTGTGACACTCCGGGATAGGATCTACAACGGGCGCTGACAGACGGATGATCATCCGCCTTTTCTTTTTTCTTTTTTTCTTTTTGATTTTCGAGTCTTAGACTTTCTGGCGGTCTGCCCATCATATTGCAGACGGAGAAAATGGTTGTTATTTCCTCGGAACCTTCCCCTCGCTTTCTGCCTGAGCGCGCATGCGCGTACGCATATCATCCAGATCATTAAGCGGGTGATGGACTAGTTAGCTCACTTGCCAGAGTCATATGCTCGAACAACTTGCATGGGGTAAAGCCAAGAGGATATGCTACGCGCCTGAGTTGGGTTTGGAGCTTGCGCAGATTGACTGTGCCGCAATTCTGACCCTCAGCCAATCTTCGTTCGGCTCCAGTACGCCGTGTAGCATTGCATCAGTTGAAACCTGGAACTAACGATGTCCAGGCCCTAATAATACTACTAACTGGCACCATACAAGTCCCCTTGTCATATGGAGCAGAAGAAGAGAAGGAAGAAGAAAAGTGGCCATCCGATTTTGGGTAATCTTTTTTTTTGTTGCCTCGTACAGTAAGTCATGGCCGAGGCTGCCTCCGCCCTTTATTTAGTATGGTGTTTCGCACTTGAATTTCGATACAGCTAGTTGATAAGCTGCCGATGGAACCTTGCCGTTTTCGAATGGTCCACTTAATGAAACTGTAATCGTCTTGGCTTTTCCCTGCGATGCCAAGCTAATGGACTCAAAGGGAGCTGAAGGAAAGGGAAAGCATAGGGAGAAAGAAGATTGGAGAAAAGGCTAGAAAGGTTTGGGGGCGCGTGCTGCTGATTGACTCGACTAGCAGAAAAGATAAGTGAAGGATAACGGCTACTACACCACCATCTTTTAAACTAGCACTCTATATCGATTTCTTATACGAAATACGATGAACAGAACACCCATTCATTCACTTCACCATAATAGCCCAGACACACACACCGGAATTCAAAAGCGAGAGATACGAGAATTGGAGTGATTTAGCAAGAAGCCCATCCCGTGATTTGTGTGCTCGTCTACGCTAGTTAATTAGGATGAGTTCGGGACCGATCGGCGCCAAACGGAGTTGTGGAGATAGTGACACAATTATCGGTTGTCACTCCTTCTTTTTCCCTGGCCATCATGGGTCCTTTTTCAGGTTGAGGATGTGGGAACCTCTCGGCTGAGTGTGGGGGGTTCAAGATTTGCTTTGTTTGTGCACTGCTGCTCCTGCTTCTGCTGCTTCTTGCTGCTGCTGTGGCCACGGCCCACTTTGCCTAGAACAACCCTTCTCCTGTGGGTGGGTGTCAGGCACGGTCGATGGAGGGCAGCCGACACCTTGAAGGGTGATTTCATCGGCCGTCCTTACAGCCATCATGTGCGACATGTCTGATATATGCATGACTTTGATAATACTGATATCAGATCTACTACCTGAGAACTCCAGCCAGCCTGCTTCTTTGAGTCATAGAAAACAGATCTGTCAACATTGCCTATTCCTTTTGATGGTTTTGTTTTTGTTTCTTTTCTTTTCTCCTCTTTTCCCCTACTGTTCAAGGATGATCCCTCGTAAGCTAATTACCTTACCGACCGGGTCCCTCACTCTCTCTCACACACAGAGAGAAAGAGAGTCCTTCCAAATCGGGCTTCCCCGTTGTCTCTCAATCAATTCTCAATTCTCTCTCGCTCCAGACTCGTCCGTCCCGGATCGTCATCCCCGGGCCCCGCTGCGTCTTCTTCGACTAGGCTACGTACTTGTCTTGTGCTTTGCTACTAAAACTTCCTCAGACTTAAAACAGAAAAAAGGCGCCCCCAAACATACCACCGTGCTCAACCCAGGATGGATCCTCCCAAGACAATAAATGGGTCGGCTAGTCTTTTGACAGTGGCGGATTCAAATCCGCGGCAACTAGTGGGTTTGAGGATGTCAGTCAGGCCCGGCCTGAAGGAGGCTGACGAATTTACTCCAGATCGTTCCTTCAGCGGTACTTGCTTCGGAGTGAGATCGCAGTTCGGTCGCCAAGGAGGCAACAGGCCCTGTTATGATTCGTCCCCTCGTTTAGTTGCCAAATGATGGTAATCCTTCACGGATCTTCAGCCCGCCCCTCCTTCTTCGCCGAGAGGTTGAAATAATGAACACTTATTATTAACTATTACTGAATGCCAACCGAAGGGGTTATAATAGGTTGTGGTAATGATGCTGTCAACGTGGACGGCTGCTGACCTTTTCTTCTGGAAGAATAAGAAAAAATCAGTGTAATCATTACCGAAGTAGGCTAAGCAACTTAGGTCTCAGCTTATATGGCAGGGTCTTTAATCTATTTTGGCCTGCTGGGTTTTATACAATACCCCATAGTTGTGCCGTGTCGCCAGTCGCAAATCGAGGATGGAGATGCTACTACGTACCGATCAAGAAGTGGGTGGGATAGGAAAAATAAAGTAAAATAAAAAGGCAAATGAGAAAGGAAAGGAAAAAAAAAAAAAAAAAACAGGCTACATACCCTGTCTTTTGGGGACTCATTACATACATTCAAATCATCGCGCAAAGTACTACGTCGTAACCGACAGATGAGATCATCTGGAAATGCAAGTATCGAATAAGGAGGGGGCAGGCGATCGTCTCACGGCTGCAGAGGATGTGTTGGCAAAGGTCTGCAGATTGTTATCTGGACCGCGCGGTTCTGTTCGGGATGATTTTTATCGTCGACAGGAACGGCAAATAATCACGAAAAGGTAAGTACCTCGATTACCTAGTTTGGTTACCCGTGGTTTACTTCTTCAAAGTGGACCATCATCTCCTCTAAAACTTAGTATTAAGAATGAATTTATTATTGAAAACGGCCGACCGAGCAATTAGATTGAAGGAAAAATAGAAAATTAAAGGAATCGAGGGTGATGATGATGGTTGTGGTGGTGGTGGCCTCACGCAGTCAGTCAGTCAGTCAGTCAGTCATGGCTAATCCCTTAAGCTAGGTTGGGGCCATCCATCCCATGGCCCTCATCTTTAGTTCCATACTAAGTAAGTAGTAGTCAGTTAGGCTCTTTGTGTACTTTTCCCTATTTTAGTATTTGTTCTCTGTGTGTCCATTTACGCATTTATTTTTACTTACTTTTTTATTAATATTATATTATTTTCAAAATTTTTGAAATTTCTCCCATTCCAATTTCCACCCCCTCCCTTTTTTTCCCCCCGGTACTAAGGCTCGGACCCACACACATCGTGTCTCCCGCTTGGCTGTCAGGTCGCCTGTCCTTCAGCAATGGCCCTGCGCAATCTGAGACCATAAGAGCCAGACAGCGTTAGAGCCTCGATCCTATTCGTAAACCCGTCCCGACACAACGGTACGCTAGCAAAGCCACTGCAGGTTGGGTTGCTGACTCTATTCCGCGCCCAATAGACGCGGCCCATTATGGCCTTTCTGTTGGCTTGCTTCGCCGGCTTCCTTTTCCCCCCCCTCCTTGCCCTCCCTCAGGCTGGCTCTGGCTTCCCCTTCTCCCACCCCCCCTTCTTCTTCTTCCTCTCATTCACTGACTGCTCATTCCGTTTTTTCTTCTCCAAATCCTCACCTGCTGATGGATGATGATGGTCTTGCACGAATCCTGCAGTGATCCTTTTACCCATCCATATTTTCTTCTTCTATTCTTCTGCTTATTTTTTAATTTTTCTTCTCGGGTTTCATTGCTTTTTCCTTTTCCGTTTACTTTGCGAGGTGAGGTGTAGAAATCGAATGAAGGATTGTTCCATATGCCAACTAGCGTCCCCGAAAAAAAATAATAACAATAATAATAATAAACAAATTAAAAATAAGAATATCAGTAGTAGAGAGAAAAGATTGACCTTGCTTCCTGCTAACTAAGGATCTTCCCACCGACAAGTCAAGTAAAGTCAGTCAGTCAAGTCAGTCACATTTTTAGTCTTGCGTGACTCCCGTATAATCCCGTTGCGTTCGTTCGTTTCTTTTCCATAACCTACACCACTACCATACTACACAACCCCCCCTTTTTCTGTATCATTATTTATTTCTCCGAGTAAATAAAAAAAAGAAAAGAAAAAAAGTGAGGTCGGCGACCATGCTCGAGTGATTAGATTAGGCTAGCCATTCAAATTAATCATTCATTACTGACAGATAACTACGTAGATAGATAGATAGTAGGGGAAAAAAAAATAAAACGAAACTAGTAAGTAAAGTAACCCGAACACAACCGGATTCATTCCAAATGATTCAATCGCTATTGACATCTTTCAGAGAGCGAGCGAGCGACGTATGGGTCTCGAACATGCTCTCCAGAGATAGTAGTAAGGTAATTTAATTTAGTCTAAGTAGATACTATCTCTCTATCTATACTAGGAGGGTAAGAAAAGAGACTGGAGTCATACTCAAAACAGAGAAAGTAAGAGAGAAAGAGAGGCTCGGAGCGAACAGTGGACTACCCACCGCGGACACAATCCTAAGCTAACTAACCTAACTAACTAGCCTCCCACGGCTCCACACACACACCCCCATCCCCAATCCCAATGTAGATAAGTACAAGATGAAGATTGCTTGTGGAGTACAGCAGCAGCAGCAAGCACAGCACACAAAACGAAACTAGCTCCGGGCCACACAAACCCACCCCCCTCTCTCCCGGTCTCTCTGCCCCCCCAGCCAGCTATGGGTAGTTGAGTGGATGTTGTGTCGTCTGATGTTTTCCCGCCAGCGGCCGAAAATCAATCTGAAAAGGCTTGGAAATTTGCAAAGGAAAATAATGAACCCTGCAATGCTTCGTTTCGGTCGACCCGTCTTGCAGCCTTGGAACGACCTATCAGGTTCGGGGAACTGGTATGACTTTTTTTTTTTTTTCGTCTTGGCCTTTTCTCATGCAATGGCAGGGCTGCATGTTGTGGGCGGCGTAAGTTATTTATTTGAGTATGTGTGATGTATTACGGCCGAATGACGGCGTTCTTCTTTTTCGAGGAATTTGTTTTCATTTCTGATTAAGTCTTCATTCAGGGTTTCGGTTTTTGGTTACTACGTATTTTCGTTTAGAAGGTGTCCAGTTAGATCAAACCAAATCCCTAAATATCTTATTTCTAATAGATAGACTCTTAGGAGGAAAGGATGGAAGGAAGGAAGGAAAGGTATGTTGTCTCTTAAGCTCCTCGCCGCGGGCAGATCGTGCGTCAAATATTTCCAGGTGGGTTCGAATCAAAGAGAAGGCAAAAACGAGTCATTAATTACGACCGCATTAACATTTTCCTTCCTTAGTAGTTTATTAGCTAAGTACGTAGTTGTAAAAGTAGCTGCTGCGGAATGCAAATGGTGGGGAATATAAATACGAGAAAAAGCCCTTGCTGGCGTAACTTTGTTACGCATAACACGGTTTGACACATTCTTCAGCAAGCAAGTCAGGTCAATCGATCAGTAGGTGATTATCTATCTAGAGAGTTTTAGGTAAAGGGCATACTTGATCGCTCTCTCACTCAACCCACTTTTATGTACATCTTTGACAAAAGCAGTAACTAATTTGCGGTTGGCTGAGATCACTTTCAGTCAGTCTGTCAGTCTGTCATTCTATAGTAAGCCAAGAAGCCTGAATAATGGCAGGTAAGGTAACTTATTCACTCAAACGTGGGGACTAATACATACTCAGTTTAAAAAGGCTGACTGGCTCTTTCGCCTTATGATACATACGTACCACATTTTTCCAGAACGCTTTTTATTTTAATTTTTTTTATTTTGTGTTCGGTTTTCTGATTGCTCGGTGTTAAATTTTATTATTATCGTATGGCTATTGTTTATTATTATTATATTATTATTATTCTAAATTTTATTATTGCTCCTTAGTCCGCGGCCATCCTTCCGGAATTTGTAATTATGCTGATAGGCTGGAGCGTGTGTGTGAGTGTGAGGGTGTGTCCCAACCATACCGAGACCTGCGCGTTGGAACTAGAAACTGCATGTGCCAGAAGAAAGCAGAGTAACGAGCCCATGGTACTGGGGCAAAGGAATGGGTGAATGAATGGGGATAGTGCAGAAAGATTTGGGGGCCGATGAGGAGAATTGACATGGGGGGTAGTAGTAGTGTGTGTGTGTGGGAGGGATTTGACTGATTGTGTACATGACGCTCATGCAGATGGCTCTTTTCGAAGGCCTGCTCCCCCTCACTCCCCGCGTGGCCAATCCTCCGCCCAGAGGTAAGAAAATAAAAAGAAGAGACAAGAGAGGGCAGGGCGCGTTGTTGGTTGGCAAGTTGAGGATGGTGTCATCGTGATTATCATCATCATCTTCTTCATATCCGTGCCAGTTGCCAAATGACTAAATAGGGTTAAGGTAAGTACAATGATAACTTGTGCGATGTAGTGTCAGTAGTGTAGTTAGTTAGCTGGGTCGACGATTTGAATGACCCGGACCCATTAAGCTTGTCGTCAATTTGGCCCGGACCCCAACCGATCATTATCATCATATCATTATTATGAGTTTGGTTTTGACTATCCTTATTATTCATCCCCATTATATTACTATCAACGTTAACTCACTGGGTGATTTGAATTAGCAGTTACTATGCTACTCACTCTTACTCCTCGTTCTTCGTCTTTGTTCTTCGAGAACCTAATCTTGGGGGTGTTTTTTTTTTTTTTTTTAGGCAGTTTTATCAGGATCGATTCCTGTTCCCTTGGCCCTTCCTTCCTTCCGTCACTTTTCCCTTCGTCACACTTTTTTTTTTCTTTTTAGAGAAGAAAAAAAACTTTGATTTACGCTTTCGCTTGATTGTGGATTCTTCATTACGGCCTCATTCCACATTGACTTTTCTGATATCTAATCTGCACAGTGCACGAACTGGCCAAGCCGGAATTCTGAGGGGTAAAGAAAAAGACGAAGGAGAAAGAGAGTGGAGTTGGAACCCAGATTCGAAATAAACTAGGAATGAAAACTACATCAGGAAAAAAAGTAGATAAAAATAAAACCAGGGAATTTAAAAAAGGGATGAAAATTAAAATAAAAACAAGAAAAAAGGAAATAAGAAGCCCGAATAAAAATAAGGAAAATCATAGGAAAATCCGAACCAGATCATAAATTACAGCAAGCCCCGATTAATTACCCGATCCAACGGTGACCCTCTCTAAACTAACCTCCCTCAAGCGTCCAGTCTGGCCCTGCACGTCGTCGGTCTGCCAACGTGACCCTGTCGCGATCTCCACTTGTTGAACCATCCAATCCATCGGATGCCATTCTTTCATCCAGTCGTTTTCTTATTATCCTCGCTCATCCTCTCCTGCAGTTCATCATTCTGAATGCTGAGGATCCATCTGGCGTTGAAAATAAGTGGCGAATCCTTCTGGTGCTTGACGGGTTTCCAGACGATACTATATCCTTGCATATAAGGCCTGGTTACTGCTATTGTTATTTGAATCTTTTCTATCTTGGTTCCTATCTTATTACTATTCACTGCTATCTATTTTGTTTATCTGGATCACCGGCCGAAATAAATACCGGTATACTATTTTACAGCCACCGCGAGTGAGGACATGCTTGCAGATGGACTAGGGTTGAAGGAACAGACGCGAGAATAAACCCCAGCAACAACAACAGGAGACTACTACTACCACTGCCACCAGTGGACGAACAGCCCTCCCCTCCTACAAGGCTTTCTCCTCTTTTCCAACCAATATACTACCCTCGCAGCTCCCTGCTGGCGCAGGCGCTACACATCACGCCGGTCACCGTCGTGTACCCGCCGTAGGAGTGACTCTCCCCACGACCGGACAGGGGGCGCAGTCACTTCGGCCTCTATTACAGGCCAGGCAGTCCCAGAGGTTTGGTACGCTGCATGGGTTAAGAAGAACTAACAGGGACCCTTGGCCACCATTGCCCTCACTAAAAGTCCAACCGGGAGTCTCGTGCGGCGTTGGCGATGCTTTAAGGACTGGCTTGTCCTGGGAAATTAATCGGTTCAACAAAGCTTCTCATTCCTCCTTCTACCCTATCCACGTCACTTCCTCTGGCTCTCCCAAGAATTTTTGTTTTTTTCCCTCTTCCTCTTGCTCCCTTTCTCTTTCACCAAGGCACACACCAGTTGTAAGGTAGTGCAACTGTGTAGAAGCGCCTTCGGCCTTTGCTGAAAGAGACACACCCAACATCTGTCACATTTCTTGATTTGTTTTTATTTTTTATTTTTCATTTTTTACTCCTTCCCTTTTTTTCTTCTTAATCTCTTACTATTTTCCAAATTTCTTATTTCTTTTAAACTCCTCCCCACCCACCCCCCTTTGGTGCTGGCCTCCTCTGGTTAGTCCAACATATTCACAGTGGGCGAGAAGTCATCGTTACTTGCATCTTCGTCAAATATACTTGGTCTCCTCTGGCGGTTGTTCCTTCCCTTCACTGGAACAACTATTTTTGTCTCCGCACTACTTCCTCCACCCTCTTACCACTGGAACACCATCTTCTCTTCCCAAGGAGAAAAAAAGAAACACCCCACTAAAGCGTCTATTATTATTATCGCTGTTATTACACATTTACCATGGAGACTCTTCACGAGCGGCCACAGGCAAACTACATGCCGGCTTCTCGTCAAAGCCGCATGGCCATTGATTCTCTATTGAATCCATCATCAGAGAGAGAAAGTACGAGCTCTCGGATGCATTACAGCCACCCAGGACCACAACTGTCGCCTCTATATCCTCCCAGTCCCAACCAATACTTTTATTCACCCTATTCAGATGGCCATCACCCCTACGCGGAGAGCTCTGCATCATCCCAGGACGCAGCATTTCTTCCGTATCGACCTCGATCGGCCGAGTCATCGCCCGGCGCATACTCGCGAGAGCGATATGACTCGGTTTCCAGCAGCTCCAGCAATGCTCCGGAGCGACGTCGACCTCCTCGACCGAAGTACGAGGAAGAGGAAATGTACTTCATCTGGTACCACCGCGTGGATCTCTGCCAAGAGTGGAAAGAAGTACGTGAAAGCTTCAACCAACAATTCCCTAGCCGGCAGCGCCGGGGCTTCCAGGGTATCCAATGCAAATTCTATCGCTTCATCAAAGAAAAGAAGTGCCCGACCTTGCGAGAGCAACGGCGTCTCCGTGACGGTGACTTTCTTCGCGAGGGAGCGGGTCTTGCCGCTGAATCGGGGGCCCCGCGATTCGGTGTGGTTGACTGGGTGGGGATATGGTATCCATGGATGCGTGAGTCGAAAGAGGAAGTTCTCAGAAGACGCATACCCAGGTGAAGGAGAAAATAAAAAAAAAGAAAAGAAGAGGGGGAAAAAAAGACCCTCCTTCACACACCTCCACTTCCTCACTCTTTCCTAATGACCATCCGACTCGACAATTTTGATGTCTTTGAAAATTGTTTTTATTTTTCTATTATTTTGTCTGGAAATTCTCTGATACAACTCACGGCCGTCCGAAGATACCTCTCTGTTTAATTCCTCGATTTCCCCTCTTCTTCTCCTATCCTATCCTCTTTCTATCCTCATTTCTCTTTATTTCTTTTGTCAAATTTCATTTCGCTCTTTACGTCGGCACAAATCAGCATGTTATGTTACTATTACTACTACTACTACTTGGGAGGCTATCTGATCTTTGCTTGCATACATGCATTTTACACACATGGCTAAGGGTGGGTTGGTTCTCATCACTTTTTTGTTTTTTAACACCTTTGAAAGGGTTGGCTACGGAAATAACAGCTACTGGGACTATGGACAATCATCAATATAACCAGATTATTCTTTCTATCCATCTTTGTTGTACGGAACAAGCGTAGAGGAACGCATGAATGAATGCGCGAATATTTACACCATGGGAATTCCCAGCCGCGAATCAGGCCATATTGTAAGGAAGCCTGCCCACTCTGTTGTCATAGACTCTTTTGGCACTTATGTCCGATGGCCGAGAGGTAGTGAATGGTACGTATGGATACGGGTGTGAGTGTGTTAGATACGGTATTTTATGTATAGTGTGTATGGTGGTTACAGATAGTGAAGTATGCTTGCAACTAGAAGATTTAGTTGTAGTGTAAGTCAACTCCATACGCCATGTCCAAATGGAATGACAGTGGTTTAGACCATCTTCTATACTCAAAAGTAGAACCGTATATCTACTTTTGCCTGAGAGATGCTTTTTATGGGTGAGACGTGGGTTATAGATATCTGCTTTGAAGTATTGACTTCAAATGCTGACTATCAGTGTAGCGAAATAAGTATAGTGTTATACCTGAGTATACCTTGATGAATATATCAGTGAGATTGGGAGACGGAATAATACACAAGTGGTAGACTGACCGAGTGTCTATCTGACTTATCTACTTATTATTTCCTCTGTACCTGGCTGGGCACTCGACAATCTATCAGACGTACAAGTGAAATGGTAGTTAGTAGTTGAGATTATCTTTAAATAGCGCATTAAGCCATTGTGGTAGGAATACTTTACCCTCTACCTACGTATGCGAGTTATAGACAAACAAGTACCATGTGGAATTGATATCCAAGAGTATTATAGTAATATATGCACTACAATAATAGTATAACTAGCACACGCTACCCAATCTATAGTCTAGTATAGTAGAGGAGCTTTGATCTCCTCACATAGCCACATAGTGGGGGTTTCACTATAGGAACTATCCTCGCTTATATATGGTTGATCTTATATGGGTTGACAGAACTGGGATGATAGCTAGATAGTATTCACATGTTTATCTCATGAAAATGTATACTTAATGTCTAGCTTATAGGATTTCTATGTATACATCTCCCACGTACTCTAACCAGCCAAGTCCAATTCTTCCTATCTGTACTCGATATTTTACACCGTAATACTTAATACTCCAAGCATAGTATACATACACACACCTCCCCCCAATCTAGACAATACGAGAGAGAAGAAGAATCCAAAGAAAGAAAGAAATGGAACCATCCAATCGCCGATCCCCTCACCTCACCAACCCAGAATAAGTATTTTCTTACAATCCGAGACATGACAGGTAGACCCAAGCAGACGAAAAAGAGACGCGTGGGAAAAGAAAATTCTAGTCTAGTCTGCAGACCAAATTCATGCTGATCGAAGGATTTTCTTTTTTTCAGATCCCGAACGTACATGAAAGTCAAACCCAAAAAGCAACGCAGGAAAGAAAATAGGAATAGGAAATGGAAAAGAGAGGTGTAACCTGACCCTGGTCTGACCTAACTTAACCTAAAACCTACAAATGGTTATTCATTTAGGCGGGTGGATGGGGGTGGATGGATGGAAGGATTTTGTTGCAGATAAATGAGGATTACTTACTGCATGATGTGGATGCACAGGCCATGGATGGAATTCTCGGCATGTAGAATAGTACATACAATACATCATACGTATATACTTACTTACTTACTTACGTACAGCTGTATGAAGGAGGGAAGAGAAAAGAGGGATCGATCAGGTGGGTTGGACAAGATGGAGGTGTTGGGCGTGGATGAGTGGTTGGCTTGTTTTGGTTGTGCATGTATGTCTTACTAGGTTTTTCAACGTTTCTTTTTTTTCTTATTTTAGTCTTTTCGTGATATTATTAATTCTTTTAATTTATTTTTCTTCAGTTCTTCTTCGCTTCTAGTTTCAATGCCGAAAGATGAGCATGACTAGTACTCCCGTATAATACGATTGTTCAGAGAAAAGTTAGAAGGTTCTAATCTATCGTATTATCAGATGACAGGGCGAATGATATCGGCTTGAGGATTGTTTGAAGGATTTGGACCCCGCATTACTTCGGTCCGTTAGAATCTTATTTTGGAGTCTGTGTGTTAAGGGTCGTGGGGGGTTAGAAGTAGTAAAACTGAAGGAGGAGGGGTGGTGGTGGTGAGATCAGCTTAATCTGCTGCTCTCGTGGTTCTTACTGCGTTGGGAATGGGAGGGGGAAAAAGGGAAACCGAGATGCTGAAGGATCGATCATTTTTCTCCCCGGAGGAAGGGAAGGAAAGGGAAAGGAAAGAAGGAAGGAAGAATACACCACTGCAATTCTGAAACGGTCCTTACTGGCCGGAGACATCGGTCGACTTGGCTTACGGCCTAGTCCTGTCGTCGCGGCCCAGCTCATCCTGCAGCAGCGATGCGGATGCAGATTATTTCTGCAGAGGCATGACGGCTGCTGATCTTGCGGTGAATCAGGGCCCTACGTCGATGACTTCAAGGACGGCAAAAGAGGTCAGTCGAGTCGATTCGAGCCCAGCCTCATCGAGGAGCTCGTCGTCCTCGTCGATTGCCAGCAATAAACATGGCCTTAAAAGTACCATACATACGATGAATTCCTCAACCCAAACGAGGCGTGAGTTCTGCAGACGCAGCCACCCGAGCTAGTCTCGCTGCCTCGTTGTTCGGTCAGCCATGCCCCCATTCCCTGCTCACTTGCTTCCTGATTGATGGCTTGTGCGTGTCGCCCTCTGTGTGTGTGTGTGTGTGTGTGTGTGTCACCGTAATCCCTCCGATCACCAGCTCTCGTCGTCTGAATCCACGTGCGACCGAAACCCGAATCCACTACGATGGCGCCCCTCACTGGCTGAGTCGTCAAAGTCGAACTCCTCGTCATCAGACCGAGCGTACGTCCGGTATTTGTTGTAGATAGCCGTTGGATCATCCTCTTCATCATCCCACGACAATTCCTCATCTGGATAGTCATTTGCGGGATTATTTTCAGCTGCCCGGGATCGCCCGTGGTGTTAGCCTTGTCTGCAGAAGGTCCTGCCAAAATTGCGATCGACTGCTTACCGTTCGAGTCTGCATCCTCGCTATCCCACCGTTCCTCGTCCTCATCGTCTTCGACAAAGTTCTCCCAGTACTCCTCATCCTCCTGCGTGATGACGATAACTCCAATGTCTTGGCGATTCGCATCAATGCCATGCTGCCGCAACCAAGCCTCTTGGTCCGCATCCAAACCAACTAATGGGTCCGGAAGCAGTCCAGTGTCTGGGAGTGGCTTCCGTATGTACGTGTCGTAGACGTACTCCCCGTCGCTCTCGTCCTCTTCAGGCCCCGCGGGCAGAGTGTTCGCCGCCTCTTCAACTTTCTCGACTGGCCCTTGCATCACTTGTGCGTCCGAGGCTCCCGCACGATGCTTATTGGGCGTGCGCGGTTGGTATTTCAACGGAGGCTTGGGCATCACCGAATGAGGCCGAGACGGTCTCGAAAACTGCGACCCCGATTGCTGCGTGTAGTCTGTTTCGGTGGCCGTCACATCCATTTCTGAGTCCAGCTCCAGAGCCACTTTCTCCAGTTCCCTTGCCAATCGTTCCGACTCATTCTCCCAATTACTCTGATGGGCCGCCTCAGCCTCCCTGTCCAGCACCTGTGAGATATGCTGCTTAGCAGCCGAGATCGCGCTCTTACGCTCCTCTCTCCATTTCTTCTCCGCTTGGTTCACCACCGGCCGCTTCCTCGGCCGTTCGGGCTCGGAGGCCAGAGCGCCCGCAACCGTCATGCTTGCCTGTTCATCCACCTGAGCAGCAGCATCAGCAACCATCGACGCCTGTCTCGAATACGGCGTGCGCCTCAGTTTCTCTACTAGCACCGCGACCGCGCCATCTTTGCGTTTCTGGACACCACCGCCTGTGCTACGGAGCGGGCTCATTGGCGTAGTGGATCTAGATATCTGGAACCGGCGTAGAGATTGCGTCCGTCCCGGCGAGGAAGCCAGGCTTCCTCTCTCACTGGATGCAGATGAAGCTACCTTTCTAGCGGCATCGGTTCCACTAGAAGCTGGAACAGCAGATGGGGTCCCCGGCTGGCTTTCTGTAGGCGTTGAAAGCAAGGCTTTTCTCAACTTCTCCTCATTTTCTTTCCGAGCGTTCGCCAGGCGACGTTCCTCGCGGAACTCTGCCCCAGGAGACGTGGCTCTTACCAAGGGGACAGTTGCTCCTGCACCAGCGACGCGGTTGGTCACGCCCCCAGTAGTTGGATAGACGGTGTTGCTCACCGACCGCGGAGTAAGCAGTTTTCTCCGCGCTGCTGAGAAAGAAGAGGGGCTAGACGAGCTGTCTTCATGGCTATTGCCACTGATCTGAACTCTTTGGAAGACAAAGTCCGTGAATCGACGCTTAGTCTGATGCAGCTCTGACTGAATGTCTGGAAATTGCATTAGCGTTGGCAACTTGGTAAAATGATCAAAAGCAGACGGGAACTGCTAGTGATATTCTGCAGTTGAGGGGCCTCGTCACTAAAAGAAGGGCCGCTCATGCGACGAATCAAGGAGTCTTACATAAAGTCTCGACCGGCTCCTCTTCTCTGCGACGCTTGATATTAATTTGTTCTGGAGGCAAAGACATTGTGCTTCAATAGAGGTGTGAAGCGGCCTTTACCGTGTCGTCAAAGAACGGTGGTGATGAAGGACCTCGAGGTGGTGGTGAAATGAAATGATGGTGATCGCAGCGGCTTCGTTTGGTTCCATGGTACATCTTCATCCGGCCTAGCGCGACCAAGCGGGTATATGCTCACGTGATAGCAGTGTTGACGCATTACCCAATGCGGTAGCTGCTACTCCGTACAATTTAGTACTACAGTTCTATTGGGAGTATTTTGATATTGTGACCACATGTCTGTCATTTCTTATGCACTGAGCACTCTTCTTCTCGTCTTTCTTATGTTCCTTGCTGGCGGATCCACTATTATCATCCTGGATCAATTACCTCCGCCGCTATATAAACCCTTGTCGTAATCAAAATGCAACAGGGGAGCTCTATGCTCGGGATTAGTTCCGTTGAATGGCATCACATATGCAAATAAGCAGCCTGAGACATCAACAGACCCCACCGAAACTGGTCTAGGATCTGGCTGCGATCTCACCCGCCTTCGTAGCCAACTGGAGATCAGAAACGGCAAAATGGCCAAAAAAAAAGCAGAATCAAAGTATGGAAATGACAAGAAAGAAAGGCAAAAGAAGATGAAGAAGATCATGCCCAGCTAGCAATACATAGGATGGTATAGGAATAAAGGAATATTAAAATCGGTAAGAGGGGGTTGCCGAAGAAAGGAAATTTGCACAATTAACAGAAAGAGAGAAAAGCCAAAGTGAAGTGAAATGAAACCAATACAAAGAAAGAAATCAGAATGGAGACATCGAAGGAATTAGCCAAGTGGCAAAGCAATATAGGTGGAACAGAACGCAGAAGAAGAATGGCTATGCTCATCAAGTGGAATAGCGGGCATCACCCTTGCAGCGGCAGGGTGCAATTATTTAGCTCCAATCTCCTCCTCAGCCCAGCCGGGCAGCGAACTCTCGTTCTGGATGGCCAACCCGAAGCCGGCATGGCTGAGACCGCCTAGAGCAGAGGTGAAGCTTGAAAAGCTGCTTTGCGGCTGATGAGCAATTCCGGAACGGGGAGGCTGGCTCGAAACAGACCCGAAAGGCTCCTGAGAAAACGATGGCAAACTCACGGCCCGGGAATGTTGCGCCCGTGGCACATTCAGGCTGCTGGTGCTAGCAGTAGCATGGTGGCCGGGGCCCGTAGAGCCGTTGGTTACATTCAAGAATCCGTTGGTCGACGGCTTGTGTTGGTGCAACGGGGCCTCGATGCTGCCGTTGGAAAGCTCACCAGTGCTCGCGCCATTGTAGAGCGACTGCTGTTGTGGCGGTTGAGGCTGGGACTGGAGACCAGCTAAGGTCATGGGGTCATTCAGCCGGTTTTCCTGCTCCTGAGCTTGCTGGGCGGACATTTGGTTGAGGTACATCGTCAAAGGATTGTTTGCACCGACATTCAGAATGCCAGACGGGGATGAGACGGTCTGCAGGGGATGCCTGTGGTGCTGACCATTCTGAGAACCCGTAGACCCTGGGGCAGGAGACAGCGCAGGATGAGTCGGGCTAGAGCCCGAGCCAGATTGGCTTAGGTTCTGCTGGAAGCCATTCAAGGCTGGAGAAGGTGACTGAGGTCCCTCAAACCCGGACCCATTACGACCCTGCGGACCTCCATTACCAGCTTGACGCGGGGGGTTTCCGCAGCGATCCTTGCCAAAGTTGATCTTGAATCGCTTGTATTCGTCGCGGTTCCGCATCCCTTCAATCGCCTTGATGGCATTGGCGATGTTGGTGAAATTGACAAATGCGCAGCTCTTTTCACGGAGCGTGTTGACAAGCTCGATCTCTCCATATTCGGAGAAGTCTTGGCGAAGGCGCTCCTCCGACCAGGTCTCATCAAGATTACCGACATAGACATTACGAGAAGCACCGCCACTCACGGCCAGGGCGATAGCTGGCGGAAGAGGACCGGAATGCTTACCCCAGCCAATCTTCAGACGACGGTTATGAATCATGAGGCCCTGCAGGTTGCTCAAGGCGTAGAATGATGCGGCTGACGTAGGATCAATGAAAGTAACAAAGCAAATATGCTTATCGGGAATATAGCGAATATGATGCAGCAAACCACCACGTACAACGTTGCAAATCTCCTCGATAGTCGTTTCGGGGTGAATGTTGCCCAAATAGATGGTCCGGTTGCCCAAGTTGTTGACTCCGCCGGCTGTGGTGGCCACAGCTGCGGCGGCCACAGATTGCTGAGCGAGTGCGTTGGTGATCAAATCACGGTCCGCCGAATTGAGGATGTGTGCATAACCAGGGGCAATACCCAGGAACTGAGCTGCATTTTGCTGCTGTGTTTTGGAAACATAAGCGCACCGATCTTTGCCGTAGAACACGCGCCTGGGTGCCTGCCACTTAGCCTCCTGAGGAAGTTGAGAAACAGCCTTCATCGCGTTGCTGATGGACAAGAAGTGGACGAATCCAATCGCCTTCTCCTTGACGATCTTGACGGTATCGATAGGCCCGAATTTTCCTAGCTCCTCCCGCAGTTCCTCTTCTGTCATGTCCTCCGACAGGTTGCCCAGGTATACATTCCGCGATGCGCCGGACTGCTGCACAGCCAAAGCGACCGAAGTAGGCACCTGGGAGGGTTTGCCCCAACCCACCTTAATGTCATTCCCCTTGATGGCAAGCTTCTTCAAGATTGCATCCGAGTGAAAGTGGGTTGCGGAGTTGCTGTCCAGGAAGGAGATGAAAGCACAGTTCTTATCAGGAAGCAAACGAACCGACTCGATTTGACCGCTTCGAACATGGTTCAAGATCTCTTCTGCGGAGGTTTCTGCCGGGATGTTGCCTAGGTATACGGTTCGGCTCGTACCCGAAAGCAAGCCAGGGGTCACCGAGGCAGCGGGACTTCCGTACCCTGCGTTGCCCAGTGGTCCCATCCCACCAACAGGAGACTGAGGAGCTCCCAGCATTTGAGAATTACCTATACCATCCGTCGACATCATACTAGAATATAGGCCAGCATTCTGCGAGGGCTGGGTTGGACTTCCGAGCTGATGGTGACTCTGATGATTCTGGGCATGTGATGAGGCATTCGTTTGAGGAAAGCCGCCGAAATTGGCGAATTGAGGCGAAGCGAATGCAGAAGGAGTACCCGGCTGAAAGGGGCTACCAAGCAGCAGCTGAGAAGGTAGCAGGGGAGTGAAGTTCATGTCAAACGCGGCGCCAGAGGCGGCCATGTTGTCCGAGACGGGAGCAGAGGTATTAATCGCAGGGATATTGGCTCGACGAGCGTTCCGGTCCGTTAGGCCCTGCAGGGGAATATTGTTGGAGGCGTATGCTCCGTGAGAGAAGCCGGTGCTGTCCGCGTTGAGGTGGGAAAACTTGGAAGGGATCAGACGACTCGGAATGCTTGCATCGGAGGTTTGCATGGCGAGGGAAGGGAGCGAGTAGGACACAATTGTCCCCCTAATGAAGGAAAACGGATTAAGATGAGTTCGTGGTCGATGGAAATTAACGATATCACTTAGTCAAGGGGGAGAGGACGTACTAGGCAATCAACACGGTAGGAATGGCCAGGAGAGAGGGAAAAAAGGCCGGGCCCGATGATCACCCCCGAAAAGAGAAGGGGGAAAATAAGGAAGAAAACAGAGACCTGGAGAGGCCAGAATGAGGGTAACCAAACTGAGAAAGAAGAGCAGGAAGGACGGCAAAGAGCACGGAGCAGAAAGACTGCCAATAAAGACGTGTCTAGAAGGGATCCCGCTAGTCAATTGGAATGTGCATGGACAATGAATGGTTGAGTTGGTGGAAACGGAGACAAACCTGCGCTGGTTTAGTTGCTTTAGGGGGCTTTGCGGGTGAGGAGGCCGAGAGACTAAAGCAAGAGTGATGTTGTGCTCCGACTGAGATCCAACCGAGATTAGAATGAGAGGACAAAGATAAAAGATAAAAATAATGATAAAATAAAGGTGGCCCTGTCAAATGAGAGTACGGAGTACTGGAGAGGGAGAACGCCCCAGACCTGCCAGAGTGCCAGGTTGTAGCGGACCCAAACGTTGACAAAGAAGGTATCCAAAGGCCGCCGACAATCCAACTGAAAAGGGATAAGTGGTAATAACAGTAGACGAAGAGTAAAAGAAAAGCAAAGGGAAAGAGAGAAAGTAATTGCAAAGAACAATTAAACTAAAAGGTTACAGCCGCCAGTACAAGTTAAGCGGAAAAGAAGGGTGAGGAAAAAAGAGGGCCCCTGGTAGGGGAAAAGGGGGGGCGCGTGTTTGAGGGACACAGGCGCGATAAATAGTGAGGAGAAAATAAAGATAATAATGAATGAACGATATCCGCGAGGACAGAACAAGAACAACACCCTCCGATTCTTCTCTTGCGTTTCCCAAACTATCTTATAGAAATGCAAGTAAACAGTAATCAAAGAAAATGAAAGCTTATCAGAATATTATCATCAACAACTCAAGTAATTAAAATAAAATCACACTCGAACCCAGGGAACTGTTGTGGGAGAACCAACAATCCCAGATAGTAAAGAACGCGAGGAACTAGCCAAAAAGAGACAGACTGGTACAGGGTCAGGTAAGCAAGGAATGGGCCGAGACAGAGCAGCAAGTATGTAATCGATGTATCAAAGGGGGAGGAAAAGCAGGTGGGTAAAAAAGGGGATTTGCGGCAAAAGGATTCCTCAACCAGTCAATGCTCCATGGTGAACTTGAACCATCATTGTGACTGCGGGAAAAGTCCCAATGGATAATTATAGTAATAGCGTAATCAATTCTTGTGGAGTGAAAGGTTTTAGCAGATCCATACTTTTGAGGCAAAAGATGGGGAAATGGTCTCCATCCCACCATCTGTCATCCGTCGCATGAGCAGCACTAAGCAGCGGCTTTCCCACTCTGAAGCATGCTGCGCTTCCACGCTGATTGAAGCGCTTTGTTCTGCTATCAATCGATCTCAGAATGGGTGGTATCAAGTAGCCTGCCCAAAGCAACCGCTTCTGGTTCGTGTTCAGACGATGGCCGACTAACAAGTTCGGGAGACAGCGTAATTTCGGCCAAGGCAGATGCTGAGAAATCTATAATTCGTTCTATCGCCCTGCAGCAGCGGTATCAGCGCCTCCAGGAGTTATGCCATCCCCTGAGATGCATCAGTTGGGACTTTGCTTTTCCCACATTGCGATCGGTCATTCTGATCATAAATGATTGATCAATCAGCGGAAGTGCCAGAATGCGGGGCTAACAGGAGACTTTCAACCAGCCACAGCGTCTACGAACGATCTGTGTTGGTGGGGTGTCCTGGTCAGCGGCTCTTGGTCCTGACGGACTATGTGTTGATCCGATCCGGCTGCAGAACAATAGGGTCTTGGCGCCTTAGGCCTACCTTCCATGGCGGGCCTTTTTGCAAATGGCCAGTACCAAACTTCGTACAGTTATAACCCTTTCACTACTCCGTACAGAGTTAATGCCCATAGGATTGCTGGTTGAGAAGACAAGAAACATCTTTAGAAGATATGACATGGCAACTGAGATATTCAAAACGGTAGTGCTTTCTGTCTCCATCGGCGTGAGGGGCCTTATCTTAAACATCATTCGATGTGTCTTCTTCTTAGGACTACTTCATCCCATGAAAACCCTCGATTTTGCTCATAACTAATGGATCCGGTGCATAATGACTACTGTACTACATCGTCCGGACGTAAGATTATCCCGGGTCTCCAAGTGGTTAGATAAGGTAGTATCCGTGCTGGGCGGCAGAGTGTATGCCTTATTGATGCCTGAATAATACGTGGGGATATCGGGATCCAAAAATTTACCCCTCCACTGTTCACTTCCACACTGTGCGAGTTGAACATTTTGGCCTCCATTCCCGCGGGACTTGCTGCATAGTCGCCTTCCTGATCAGAGTGCTGGTCTACATGTGAGTGCTTTCTGTCATTTTGTCTTATCACTCAATGCCTATGAGCGCCCGATAAGAAGACTCTCGTGGTGACTCACATGCGTCTCCGCAACACATTTGACTGACATCTCCGCCAGAGCCCAGCTCATACTCCCCCAATTCACTCGCGCGGGCCAGATCCCTACACTTGAGGCACCAAAATGGCTTCTATCTACATTGACGAAGATGTCGGCAGGGACGACTCGACCGCCAACGGAACCGAATCTGCCCCCTACAAGACTCTCCTTCATGCTTTCTTGCAGCACGCCCCTACCGATGGCAACCAGTACTTGACCCGCAAGTCCCAGACTGAGCCCACGGAGGCAGGTGCCGACCCCGCGTCTAAATTGGAGTGGAAGCCGGCCACGAAGTCGGCGGTCAAGAAGGCCACCAACCTGTATGAGCAACGGAAGAGAAAGGCTGCGAAGGAACAAGAATTGGCTATCCGTGAGAAGCAGGAGGCTGAGAAGCGACAGGCTATCCTTGAGGAGGCAAAGAAGGTCGTTCTTACGGAGGACACATCACTTCCCAAGCCCACCAAGATCCGTCTTGATGTGACTGATCCGGCCGTTGTCAAGCTGGGATCCCCCGAGTCTGAGACTCCTGGAACTCGTGTTCGTGTGGTTGGAAGAGTCCACCGTCTGCGTGCTCAGAAGGACGTTATCTTCCTCACTCTGACTGATGGCTATGGCTACCTGCAGTGCGTCCTGACGGGCAACCTGTGTAAGACTTACGATGCCATGACTCTTACTCTTGAGACCTCGATTGCTATCCATGGTGAGATGCGTGCCGTCCCCCCTAAGCAACATGCTCCCAACAACCGTGAGCTGCACGCCGATTTCTACACTATCATTGGCCGCGCTGCTGGTGACAAGGAGGCTATCACCACTAGAGTTGCACCTGATGCTGATCCCCAAACCCTCTATGACAACCGTCACCTCGTCCTCCGTGGTGAGACCGCCTCGTCAGTCATGAAGGTTCGCGCGGCTACCCTCCGGGCTTTCCGTCAGACCTTCGAAGAGAACCGCATGCTGGAAGTTACCCCTCCTGCCATGGTTCAGACTCAGGTGGAGGGTGGAAGCACCTTGTTCGGTTTCGACTACTATGGCGAGAATGCTTATTTGACCCAGTCCTCCCAGCTTTACCTGGAGACTTGCCTCCCTTCCCTTGGTGATGTCTTCTGTGTGTGCCCTTCTTTCCGCGCTGAGAAGTCGCTTACCCGTCGCCATCTGTCCGAGTACACCCACATCGAGGCAGAGCTTGACTTCATCACTTTCAACGACCTCCTCGATCACCTTGAGCACGTCATCTGCCGTGTTATTGATCTGACTCTGGCTGAGCAGGCCACCAAGGCTCTCATCGAGAAACTCAACCCCGACTTCAAGCCCCCTAGCCGCCCCTTCAAGCGGATGAAGTACTCCGATGCCATTGAATGGCTGCGGGAACACGACATCCCCAACGAGGAGGGCAAGCCTCACGAGTTCGGCGATGACATTGCCGAGGCTGCTGAGAGAAAGATGACCGATATCATCAACCAGCCCATCTTCCTGACCCACTTCCCCGCTGAGATCAAGGCCTTCTACATGAAGAAGGACGCTGAAGACCGCCGTGTCACTGAGAGTGTGGACGTTCTCATGCCTGGTGTTGGTGAGATCGTCGGTGGTAGTATGAGAATGGACGACTGGGATGAGCTCATGGCCGCCTACAAGCACGAAGGCATGGATCCTTCCCCGTACTACTGGTACACTGACCAGCGCAAGTAAGTCAAGCCTTCACGAGCCTCTCCCCGTCATGTAATTTGTTTAAAGAGACGTATAACTAATATGCACCTACAATATAGGTACGGTACCTCCCCTCACGGTGGTTACGGTCTTGGTCTCGAACGTTTCTTGGCTTGGTTGTGTGCTCGTTACACCGTTCGCGACTGCTCCTTGTATCCTCGTTTCACGGGCCGTTGCACTCCTTAGGCGCTTTGATGTCATAGACAGAATTTATAGATACATGATACACCGATTCATCACAGATGTGATATCGGTAGTCATGATAATACTCTCTGATATCGACTATGAAAGCAAATCGTCATGTTTCATGAAATCCTGGTAGCATTACAGGACCTATCGTAAAGTATCATTCTGGTTGTTTTTAAATTTCATATCATAACTATATTGTAGCCGTCATTATACGGTCGCTTCGACACCAGCTTCTTATAAATGAAGAAATAGAAGCCGTTGACGTCGACGTACATGAAAGCTGTCGAGTCTGGAAGTGAGACCAGTGTGGGTCGTGATGAAAGTAAAGGAGTACTAAAACTGCGTCTTTTGCACTATAGTCCGTCATAATATCGATCCGTAGATAAACACAGTAAGTAGACAGCGAGTCATCATATCACTGGGAAGAAGTTGACGTCGTAAGTGGGAAAATACTAATAAGACACTGCAAGAAAGACCCGTATTGAGAAGGCACCACCAGAGTCTGCAGCCAAGGATGTTGTTGGTTGGACGCTCAAGGGGGTTTAGCTCCGTTTGACATCACGAGCAGCGACTACTACTACTACTGCCTCTCTACATATGATGATCGATCGATCATTTTCACAACTCATTAGTCCTTATTGTCAAAATTCGAATTGGGTGATCGAGTGCGACAATTAACATGTATAACTGGTTTAGGTAAGTGACGGCTTTCATTGATGGTTTCTCATGCAGCTTCCCTGCAGGAAGCAGCCAAGCCGATAATGCTCGCTGAGCACTCTATGTCACCATAGTGGGCATTCAGAGTCGCGACAAGCACATCGCTATGCTGAGCCAGAAGTGTAGAGGGCAGATATGGATAATGGTGCGTCCAAGGCCGGCCTCCATTGGAAGCGCAAGCTAAGTCCATA